TCATGTTTGAAAAGATGTTAAACTAATATAGTATCTATCTATCTATCTATCTATCTATCTATCTATCTATCTATCTATCTATCTATCTATCTATCTATCTATCTATCTATCTATCTATCTATCATGTTTGAAAAGATGTTAAACTAATATAGTATCTATCTATCATGTTTGAAAAGATGTTAAACTAATATAGTATCTATCTATCTATCTATCTATCTATCTATCTATCTATCTATCTATCTATCTATCTATCTATCTATCTATCTATCTATCTATCTATCTGTCTGTCTGTCTGTCTGTCTGTCTGTCTGTCTGTCTGTCTGTCTGTCTGTCTGTCTGTCTGTCTGTCTGTCTGTCTGTCTGTCTATCTATCTATCTATCTATCTATCTATCTATCTATCTATCTATCTATCTATCTATCTATCTATCTATCTATCTATCTATCTATCTATCTATCTGTCTGTCTGTCTGTCTGTCTGTCTGTCTGTCTGTCTTTCTGTCTATTATTTTGTCCATTCAGTCTCTCAAACATCTTATATTCTTCTGAATATTTTTCTCCATCAAGATGGGCAAGGGCTCCTTCAAATATGCCTGGGTGCTGGACAAACTGAAGGCCGAGCGTGAGCGTGGTATCACTATTGATATTTCTCTCTGGAAGTTCGAGACCAGCAAGTACTACGTCACCATCATTGATGCCCCTGGACACAGAGACTTCATCAAGAACATGATCACTGGTACTTCTCAGGTAAGATTTTTTTGTATTTCAACATATCAATCACAGTTTACTGTGCATATTGCATTACTTTTTGTTTAAATGTCATGATTTTTATTTGTCTCTTCCTCCACCCAGGCTGACTGTGCCGTGCTGATCGTTGCTGCTGGTGTCGGTGAGTTTGAGGCTGGTATCTCCAAGAACGGACAGACCCGTGAACATGCCCTGCTTGCCTACACTCTGGGAGTGAAACAGCTTATTGTTGGAGTCAACAAGATGGACTCCACCGAGCCCCCCTACAGCCAGAAGCGTTATGAGGAAATCACCAAGGAAGTCAGCGCCTACATCAAGAAGATCGGCTACAACCCCGCCACCGTCGCCTTCGTTCCAATCTCTGGATGGCATGGAGACAACATGCTGGAGCCCAGCACAAACGTGAGCGTCTGCTTTTTCCTGGGTCTGAAGAAGCTGCATAGATGCTACTAAAGGGTTTGTGATCATTGCGATTGTTCATGCTTTGTCTTTTGCATTTTCTTAATGGATAACAGATGGGCTGGTTCAAGGGCTGGAAGATTGAGAGGAAGGAAGGTGCTGCCAGTGGTGTAACTCTTCTCGAGGGCCTGGACTCCATTCTGCCACCCAGTCGACCCACCGACAAGCCTCTTCGCTTGCCTCTGCAGGATGTGTATAAGATTGGAGGTAACATTTACCACCAACCAGGGTTATTATATTTTAATTTTTAATTTATTTATTTTTTAATTTACATTTTGTTATTTGTCTTTACAGTTTAGTTGGTTTAAGTCTGTTCACTATAATTTGTAGTTTTCATTATAGTTTGTTTATTTAGTTGTTTTATTAGTTTGAGTATTTTGGGCCTGCCATAATTAATGTGCTAACTGGTATAATTTAAAAATGCTTTTAATTTTCCCAGTTCAGTCCTCAACCAGGGGGCCTCAAAATCAAATAAAAATGTAAATATTTTAATTCACCCCCTCAACAAGTGTTTTTTTCTTTGACAAAAAACAGGTTTACCTGTATTTATGAGGAGGTCTAATATTAAAAGTATTATTTCTAGACTAGGAAAAGTCATAGGTATTGTTATAATGATATAAATTTGTCTAGTTATGCCAAGCCAAAATATTTTCCTAGGTAAAAAAAAAAGTAAATCCTTATTTTTAATCATCTCCCAGTAAGTATCATGTTCGTGTTTAATGCAAATGGGATGTAAAGGTATCATGTTTAATGGTATACCATGAATCCAAAACTAAAATTAATTTGCAAACTTTTTATTTATCTCGGAGACATGAAAATAAATTTAGTTTGTGTTTCCCAGTTGTATTGGTTATTTTCGTTAGTGTGTAATGTTGCTGTTTGAGCATGAAAACGGTCTGTAAAGTTACAAAGCACAAAGTCCCTCCAGTGGGAGTTCTTCTCTATATCAGTGTCAGTGTTTCTGAACTCCTGAAACGCCTCCATTGTAGTCTTGAGTTTCTTCCGGGAACAAACACGTCACGATATTCCTCCTTTAAATAATTCATATGCAGAATAATGGGGCGGGGCCTGGTTGAGTTAGTTAGTAGTGTGTTGTAACTGGTGGTTATGGTAAGGGGCGACATTTCCAAACACACTCGAAGCGCTCGACCAATCACAACACACTGATCCAGCCGACCAATCAGAGCACATTGTCCTTTTCAGAAGGAGGGGCTTCATAGAGACAGGAACTAAACAGAGCGTTACTGACAGACTGGGAAGAGAGGAGCCGCAACAATGGAGAATATGTGGAAAATAATGACTTTTTTGAACATTCAAGCATTAAAACCTATTCTAGTGTCTAGTAATCAAGGCTTACCAAAAGGGCTTTTTAAGGTAAAAGTGTTTGCTATTATTTTTTAGTTTTCATAACAATAACAACACTGCCTCCATCCTTATTCACAATTTTCTCTGATGAGAGACCATGTTCAAACATTCGTGTGAAACGTTTTTCCTTCAGGTATTGGAACTGTGCCCGTCGGTCGTGTTGAGACCGGAACTCTGAAGGCTGGTATGGTTGTGACCTTTGCCCCTGCCAACGTGACCACTGAGGTTAAGTCTGTTGAGATGCACCACGAGTCTCTTGTTGAAGCTCTTCCCGGTGACAACGTTGGCTTCAACGTGAAGAACGTGTCCGTCAAGGACATCCGTCGTGGAAACGTGGCTGGAGACAGCAAGAACGACCCACCAATGGAGGCTGCCAACTTCACGGCTCAGGTTAGAATATTCTCTGATTGATCGTCCTTCTATAACTGAGTTGTCAGGATATAAAGTGCTTTATCATCTTCTTCCCAGGTCATCATCCTGAACCACCCTGGTCAGATCTCTCAGGGCTACGCCCCAGTGCTGGACTGCCACACTGCTCACATCGCCTGCAAGTTCTCTGAGCTCAAGGAGAAAATCGACCGTCGTTCTGGCAAGAAGCTTGAGGACAACCCCAAAGCTCTTAAATCTGGAGATGCTGCCATTATCGTTATGATCCCTGGCAAGCCCATGTGTGTGGAGAGCTTCTCTCAGTACCCGCCACTGGGTAAGTGTGATCATTTATGTTAAATATGCAATTTTACATAAACATTCTGGTTGTGTTCAAACTCCTTACCTTCCCGCTACTACTTTTCAGGTCGTTTTGCTGTGCGTGACATGAGGCAGACCGTTGCTGTTGGTGTCATCAAGGCTGTTGACAAGAAAGCCGCCTCTGCTGGCAAGGTCACCAAGTCTGCTCAGAAGGCTGCCAAAGTTAAATGAATCGTCCCGTCAGACACACAGCAAGCCTCATTGACATCCTACACTGCAATATTTCAGAACCTGAGCACGGTTTTAAAGGACTGGCTTATGCTGATAAAAACCCATCGTAAAAGCTTCAGAAGGAAAGGAGGAAATCATGTATTTCTGAACATGTTTAGAGAAAATGATTAGTTAAATAAACAATGATTATACATCACAGATTGTGCCATTATTCTTTCTTGTCAAAGTCAAAGCACTATGAATGGGTTTTATTGTAAGTGCATTCATAAATAAATTATTTTTGAACATGATAAATATAAATAAGTTTCAAATTCTTTTTTTTTTTGCCTTAATATTCTTGCCTTTCTGCCATCTCTGCTGTTATTGTTCGCTAAAACTAAAATGATTAAAAATAATTTTGTCAGTTGATATTTCTTTAATATATTGTAAGAAATTTAATATGAAAATTTGAAATGTTGGAATGGCTGAAATAAAACAAGTTGAAGTACTAAAATGACTAAAACTTAAATAATAATAAATTAAAGACTAAATGGAAATAAAAAACTAATAACAAAAGCACAACCAAATTACTAGAAATTAAAATGTAAGCTAATTCACATAATACTATTATTACTATACTAGTATATAAATAATGCTAAACTAACACTGTTTGTCAACCACATATCCATACTTTTATGCACTAATGCTATTGTTGATTAAAAACACGTCATTCATAATTTTGTATAGTTCATTTTAACCAGCTGCTTAGACATCAAAGAAAGGAGTTTTAATTTCATAGTCTGTTGTAACACTTTAAATACAGCCTCCCAAAACACATGATCACCATTTCATTAAAGAGGACAGAAGAACTCTATACGACAACATACAGCCATCATTCAGATGTGTTTATTTAAATTGTGTGCAGTCCACAGAGTAATACTTTTAGAGAGAGAGAGAGAGAGAGAGAGAGAGAGATTTCAGCTGAAATGGTACATTCTTTACACCTGTAAATGCAACACCTGTGTGACCTCAGCAGGTAAACATCATCTTCCTTAAGTTTCGGTTTTACAGGATCACAGTCACACCCTTAACCTTTTACTGTAAAGTGAAAGATCGTCAAATGTGGCAGGGAGGAGCTTAAGAGTCGATATATACTTTGTGCTGCATCTCTGTAGCAATGGATCATATTCTCTAGACCAGGAAGTGGGTAAGTCTGCATTCATGCATATCAATGATTGTGAAAGTTTAAATAACACATAGATAAAATGTAGTTTCACGGTATGTGCCACAAAGTGATCTAGCTGAAACATTCCTGTAAGTTTTTTATCTTTTTACCTTTTAATGACTTGTGCGTGTGCCAGTCTTTTGTTCTTGTTGCATGATACACATATAAAAACATCCCTGATGTCTGTTCTGGATTGCCTGTTTTCAGCAGTTTACTTTTCATTTATGTTCTCAGTCTTAAAATGTATGAAAGCCATAAAAAAAAGGGTGTTTGCTCTTTGGCTGTAAAATAAAAACATCATGTCATTTGCATTGATACTGCACTGCAATTTTAGGCAGGATTGAGCGTTGGAGGATCAAGCACTGTATCTGAGACCTCTGGATATTCAACACAACATCATGGAAAGTCAAAGGAGAATGAGATCAAGTAAGGAGATACTGTGTTTGTGTATTGTTGTCCCGAGGCAATTGAATTTAGTGTGGTTTTCAGAATAACCTGTTTGTTCTTTTATGATAAATGTAGTTTCTGTTGGAACTCCTGGAGATGATATTTCGCAGGAGCTGGACCGCTTGATCCGGCAGAGAGGTCGAGATCTACGGGTGCGTAAGGTTGACCAACAGAATGCTGTGAAGATAGTAAATCATCTTATCGAAAGCCTTCTGGAATTCCTGAAGAATAATGAGGATCAGCCCTTCTTCAGGGACGTCTCGGTTCTCACCAGCGGCAGCTACTATGAGATGGTGAAGGTGAGAAATATGAATACTGACAAAAATCAGCTAGTCGTGTCTAATAGAAAGAGTTTAGGTTGGTGTCAGGAATGAATACACACTACTGTTCAAAAGTTTGGGATTTTTTCAAACAAAATTAATGCTTTTATTCAGCAACAAGGAAGCATTAAATTGATAAAGTGACAGATTTCTATTTATTTTTTGTACTCATCAAAGAATCCTGAAAAATATATTTCACGATTTCCACAAAAATATGAAGCAGAACCAGTCTGTAGTGATAATAATAAAAAAATTATGCTAGAAATTCAGCTTTGATCACAGGAATAAATTATATTTTTAACATATATTCACATAGAAAACAGTTATTTTAAATTGTAATGATATTTCACTATTTTTACTGTATGTTTGATCGAATAAATGCAGCCTTGGTGAGCAGAAGAGACGTTTTTCAAAAACATTAAATAGGGGTGTAACAATATATCGTGCCACAATATATCGCAATACAAAAATGCAACAATACGTATCGTGGATAGTTCCCCCAAAATAAAAATTACTGTGTGAGAAAAAAATTCAATTTTTTCAGTTTTAGTGTCAGTACTACATTAAACTACTATACAAAATGTTGATTATAATGTATAATAATGCAATGGGGGAATATTTGTGGGTCCGGATAATGCCAAATATCTGATGTTACCAGTAAAAAGTGGCCTACATTATTTTAATATATCTAGTCAGTGACAGTGTGCAAGTATATTCGTCTAAAATAAATCTGTATTTTCAGCTTCAGAATCATGAATATTTTTATTCTGGTGTCGCCATTGTCCTTGGGTTACAAGCACCAAGTCCAAACCTACTCATTTAAACCCCCAATGTAATATCAAAGTTAGCATTTTAATCAACAGTACAACCTTTTATCATGTCTTGGAGTATTGCAATAATATCGTATCGTGAGTTCAGTATCGTGATATGTATCAAATCGTGACATGAGGGTATCGTTACACCCCTAATATTAAAACATCTTACCAACCCCAAACTTTTCAACGGTAGTGTAATACATATCAAAGAAAAAAGTAATGACTTAAATTATTCATGAATGTTTGAAGCAATGCATAATGCAATGACAAACATGAATTTTATTACCAACAGATCAACAAACCCAATGAGTTTGACATTATGCTGAAACTGAAAGTCCCAAGGCTTGAAATGTCAGAACTGGAAGAATATCAAGGACTGTTTTATAATTTGAAACTTTTAAAAGGCACACGTGAAGAAATCAAACACTTTCTTCTGGAAGATGAACGAACCGTCTCAGCCACCAAAATCAAAGCAGAAATGCACCGCTTGGTCCGCAAATTCATTAGCACACATTTTAAAGGTGTGTTGATCAGTTTCTTGTTCAGATGGCTCTTTTATACACTACCAGTTAAAAGTTTGTGGTTGTTTTTTTAATGTTTTATGTCATATTTTTTCTCCCAAAAATACAGTAAAAATAGCAACTCTCTGAAATATTTTTACAATTGAAAATAGCAGTTTTCCATGTGAATATTTTTAAAAATGTAATTTATTCCTGTGATCAAAGCTGAATTTTCAGCATCATTACTCCACTCTTCAGTGTCACATGATCCTTCAGAAATCACTCTAATATGATGATTTGCTGCTTAAGAAACATTTCTGATTATTATCAATGTTGAAAACAGTTGTGCTGCTTAAAGCTCCAGTCCGTAACATTTTGGGGTTAAAAATAATTTTTTGAGCAAGTACATAACCAGCCAGTGTTCAAAACTCTCTGCTTGCCTTAGCTCGATTCAAAGCGGGAAGCTTGTAATAATGTTTTTAACTCCAGTGGTACTGGATGTCTTTGCGTCATTACGTCACATCTGTACACACACATCTGTACACATAAAGAAGAGTCTCGACTAGTATAAGCTATATTGCGTGTGAGGATGTTGGAGGTGGAGATTTATAGCCTTTTCTCACAGCACTTGATATAATTAAACTTATCAATTTGATGGCAGATCCTGAAAGGTTCAAACGACAATAACCAGTGACAACTAGAGATTCACCCGGTGTAAAATGCAAAAGACTTTGGACTGAGTTTGTAAAAAGAGACTGCAACCGGACCCATGCGAAAACAATCTAAAGGGCTTTAAATGTAGTCACCTTTTTTTTACAGTCTATGGTAGTCACGCAATGCTGATGTTGTTAACATTAACAATTTGAGAACAAAGTATAATTTGCACGGTTTGACGTGATATGATAAACGATCGTTATTTAATCAGCGCGATTTACTGCATTGCTTTTTTCCCCCTTAGTTGGTCAGAACAAAAGTGGATGTTACTTGTTCAGACATTTTCCGGTGAAAATTATTATGTTGGTCATACTTACGAAAAGAACAATCTGTGATTCTGAATGCCAGTATCGACACCGGCGCGGTGACTGACAGCCGCACACTCTCCTCAAACATTGTGTTGATCCGCGCTGTGCCGCGTCGAGGGTGTCGAAGTACAACTCACGTAAAGTTGATAATTCCCCGAATGACTGCAATTGCAGATTTCGAACAGAGATGGCGACAAAGAGAAAAAACTGCGGACTGCAGCTTTAAAGACAGCATGAAACAGAACTTCCGTTATTCTTTTCTTCCTGATTTCGCGCAGCCGCCATTTTGAAATTGCTCCGGTGGGAAGAAAACCGGAAGTGTCGCCTTTAATCACAGGAGAGTCGCGAATGCGATGGCGTATTGTTGTGTTTAATATAGATATTAGTTATTCTAAAAATGTACATACATTTCTTTCATACTTTAGACTATATACAGTGAAAAGCATTTATAAATATATATTTTTTTTATATATAATTCAGAACGTAAAAAAAAGAAGCAGGAACGAACTATATACATATCCTGTATTGGATATTAACATCCAATAGTGTAAATCGCGGCAGCAGCTTCAGGTTGGTATTGTCCAAGGTATTGTTGTCTATCTGTACTTCCGGGGTTCTTCCCACTGGAGCCTCGCTTTCGATTTCAAAATGGCGGCTGCGTGTGAACGTCTATGATTGTGACCTTTTACTATGATTGTGACGTATATCCGAGTGAAACGGCTGCTCAAACAAGAAAAAATTTAGGACGGGACTTGATGTGAAAAATGTGATGCATTTTTTTAGCTGGAATCTTTGATGAATAGGAAGTTCAGAAGAACAGCATTTATTTGAAGCAGAAATCTTTTTGTAACATAATAACTGATGTATCGTATACATTTGAGATTGTTTTTGGTTCTGTCGCCCCTCACAGGTAAAGGTTGGGTGATATGCAGGAAACAGCTGAATTCACCGGCAGTGACTCTTGAGTTTAACAACAAAGAGAAAGATGACATGATGTCTGTAGATATCGTACCTACTCTCGAGGTGCCACAAGGTTGGCCACAAGCGGCACGGGCCGGTCCCAATATAAACAACTGGCTTGAAAAGAAATGCCGCCGCCAGTTTGTAAGCAAGGCTGTGTATTTCGTCCCAAAGAGACCTAAAGGAAGAAACCTCAAAGATGATGCCAAAGGTATGCTGGAAGTTATTCCTTTCTTTCCTTTGGGAATCATTTAAGACATTTTTTCCTAGTATATAATCTTTTTGGCGTTAAATGTTCTTTAAAAATGTGTCAATTAATATTGTCAAAAAAACATATATTTTATAGTTAGAAGCATTTTATTTATATATTTGCGGTATATGTTTTCAGAGAGCTGGCGGATATCATTCTCTCACATTGAAAAAGAGATGATGCAGTATCATGGCAATAATAAGACGTGTTGTGAGAGTTTTTCCAATAAGTGTTGTCGGTAAGTAGGTTCATTTTAGGTAGGTTAAAAAGGTTTGGTCACTCAAAAAATTAAAATTCTGTCATTAATTACTCACACTCATGTAAGACTTTCATTCATCTTCAGAACACAAATGAAGATCTTTTAAAGCTCCAGTCCGTAACTTTGAGTTAAAAATAATCCAAAATAATTATATTAAAAAAAACTTATTCTGCCAGTGGTCAAAACTATCTGCTTGCCATAGCTAGATTCAAAACGGTTAGCTTGTAATAATGATTTTAATTCCAGTGGTACTGGTGGGTTTCCGCGGGAAATTCGACCATGTCTTTGCGTCATTACGTCACACCCGTACACATAAAGAAGGAGTTTCGGCTAGCCGGCTATACTGCGCGTGACGAGATGTTTAGATGTATAGGCTTTTCTCGGAGCACTTTACATAATTAAACTTATGGCATCCAGAAAGATCCAAACAACAATCATCAGTGTCAACTGGAGATTCAGCAGTTATAAAACCCAAAAGACTTCGTACTTCGAATTTAAGGTGGCTAGAGAAAGAGAAAGAAACCGTCTCATGCGAACACAAGGATTTAAACATCGGCGGGGCTTTTGAAAAGTGCGTGAACTCCGTGTTTTGAAGGGGTTCAAAACGGAAGAAGAGACGGCTTTTTTCTGCTGAACAAGTAAGACATTTCAATAGTTCAATCGTGTAACAGTACGTTTTCTTAATTCACACAGTTATGGAGTTTCCTTTGTTGTGCCTTTCTCGTTTTGCTATTATGGAGAATATGAATTCTGAACTACACAGGTAACCATAAAACACATTAAATTTAACATTAGTCACGCAATGCTGATGTTGTTAACATGAACAATTTGAGAACAGAGTAGGCTATAATTTGCACGGTTGCTGTAAATCGCGTTGATTAAATCTAACGAAGCTTATCATGTCGAATGGTTTTTCCCCCTTAGTTGGTCAGAACAAAAATGGATTTTACTTACTTGTTCAGAAGACATTTTCTTATGAAAATTCTTATGTTGGTCAAACTTTCAAAAAGTGAATCTGTGATTCTGAATGACAGTATCCACACAGCGCGGTGACTGACAGCACCACTCGCCTCAAAGCACTGTGTTCATCCGCGCTGTTTCATGCCGATTTACAACCCACATAAAGATGATAATTCCGCGAATCACTGCAGTTACAGATTTCGAACAGAGAGATGGCGACAAAGAGGAAAAGATACGGACTGCAGCTTTAAATGAAATATGAGAGCTTTCTGTCCCTCCATTGACAGCTACCAGAAAGGTAGTAAAGAGATCTTTAAAGTAACGTTAATCCATGTGACTCCAGTGGTTTAACCTTGATTTTATGAAGCAACGCAAGTGCTTTGTTTGTGCAAAAAAGCATAATTTACCACTTTAATAACAAAATCTCCAACGGACCTTCACGAGAGCACAAAGACCCATTTGTGTTGTGTTGACGCGAAAGTAGACGTTGTTGCGTGAACGTGCATCATCGGAGATTAATATTTAGTAAATAAAGTAGTAAATAATGTTTTTTTGCACAAAGCTGCTTCATAAAATTGAGGTTAAACCACTTGAATTACTTTCATGATGTCTTCATTTCTGGGCCTTGAAAGTGGTAGTTGAACGAAAGTCTTACAGGTTTGGAACGACATGAGGCTGAGTAATTAATGACAGAATTAAAATTTTTAGGTGAACTCTCCCTTTAAAATCATGTTTCCCTGTTCTCTCCTCTCTTAGGAAACGCTGTTTGCAGCTTCTCAAGTGTCTGATTGAGGGACTGAAGCAGCGTTATCCCAAAGAGCTTGAGCCTCTGTGTTCCTACCACGGGAAAACAGCCTTCCTCCACGTGCTCTCAGACCGAGTGCAGGATTCCCTCTGGTCTCCAGGCCAGCTGTCTGTCTCCTTCATGAAGCTGTTTGGATACTTCGAGCGACGTGTACTAGATGGTTCACTACCCCACTTCTTCGTTTGCCGGCATAATCTGTTCTCTCCGCCTGCGTTTCCCAAAAGAGCGCTTGCATTTCTGACCAATGCCCTGAAGGAGCAAAGAGAACTGGGTCTCCCTGTTTTAAAGGTGCCGAGTCCATCCGCTGCTCTTGTTCCTGATACCGATCCTCTTGTTCCTGATACTGATCCTCTTATTCACCCAAACCCAATCAATGGCACTGACAGTATTGTTGCCTATGAACGTTCTTTTAGGCATGTCTATATCTATATCGGGTTAATGGTTGTTATTGTGTGTGTTGGAATCGGATGTGCATTTTAAAAAATGATTTTGTAGAATCCTCTCCAAATGGAAAGATAGAAATATCATTGTACAATACAATACCTTTGTTTTTATTTATTAAAAAAATGTAATCATGCGAAAGATTATGCATTAATGCCATATGCTTAAATTATTTTTTGTGTTTTTTGTTTCTTCCAGAAATGTATACTGTAGTCAAAAACAGTGCATGTAAACTCTTTTTTGTATGGATCATTGTGAACTGTGAAAATAAACATGTAAAAAATATCGTCAGTATCATTGTCCATATTTAAGAATAAAACTGAAAAAAAAAAAAGTTTTTATATAGGTTAGTAAAACTGTGAACTTCCTTTCCTCATAAAGTGCAATTTATCTCTATAAATTTAGGCCTAGTACAATTTGGTACTTTTCAAAAGCGGCTAACTTTCGATTAAGACAACGTGTTTGAGCTTCGGATCTGAAATCTGATTTAATAAACTCCTATTTTCCTGTTTTCCGACCAAATTTGCAGGTAATATGACATAAAAGACTGCTCTCTGGATCTCAGTCATAATTAGGCTACATGTCATCACATATGCGTCCACAAATGTGCAACAAAAATTAACTGCTTCAAAAAAAGTCCAATTTTGATTAAATATTTATATATTCAGAATCATTTATTTATATATATCTTTTTTTTTTACAGGATATTAAACATTTTCAAGCATATACATAATATCAAATATGTACACTTATCCTAGCACAATTTAACAATACCATATCAGACAAAAGTAGTTACACCAAATTTGATATCATGAGTCTTTAAACAATACCGGAAGCTCGTCCTTGAGCGCAAAGCATGATGGGAAGTGTAGTTCTGAGTGGTTAAAACGCAAGATAAATGCTGTGCGCCGGAAGTGTATCGTTCTTTTCTGAGTGATCAAACATGGCGGTGAGTACAGCAGAAATTGTGATCACGAAGGAGTATCAGTAAAATCGGCAAACATCTGCTTGTTTTTATGCAACAATCACGTAAAGCACAACGTAATCAGTCGCTGTTGATGTGACTAACAGAATGATGGCGATATTTGTGGCCAGAGTGATTTGATGCGGCGTATATTGGCGTTAGCTTCACTGTAGTGCCGACACGGCATGTCATTGACTCGTTTAAAGTTACTTGTGTGTTTCCAATCCTGCCTGAACTTTGTTTCTATAAAAAAAATAGAATCCGAATGAATAACCGAGAGCTCAGTTGTATGTAGTGCTCAAAATGACAGTATGTTGACTTGTAGTGCCATGCTAGCCCCTCTCCAAATGGTGGATATGTCCGGGCATGTTCATTAGAGTTCGCTTCTTATTTGAAGAGCTTACACCACTAGTAACTGACGTGCTATAACGCAAAACAGCTATGGTTTTATTTGATCTACAGCATTAGCATGATATTTGGAGAGCTGGTGCAGGTTTGTGAGAGACTGCGTTCATGACAGCTATGTATTTCTCTGTACAGGAACAGTCCGAGAAGAAGGAGAACCCGATGAAGGAGCTTCGCATCCGCAAGCTGTGCCTGAACATCTGTGTGGGAGAGAGTGGTGACAGACTGACCAGAGCTGCTAAAGTGCTGGAACAGCTGACCGGACAGACTCCTGTCTTCTCAAAGGGTAGGCGACATGCACAAATGCTACATTTTTATAAGTGTCACAATCATTTGTTAACAAACAAGTTCACTGTTTCATCATTGAATTATTGCATTGTTTAAATGAATACCTTTTTCGCTAACTGCTATGTACATTTATGAAATCCAGTTACCTCTGATAACAGATCACTCTAAATTGTAATGTGGATTCATGCATTTTCTGTAAAGCTGCTTTGAAATGATGCTTATTGTGAAAAGCGCTGTACAAATAAATGAGTTGGATTGAATCTTTTGGATTCTGCTACACCTCATGAATGTGGAGTGACGCCTGTCGCTGTTTGTAAAGTTGTGCCATGCATTAATTGCAAATGTTTCCCACCAGCCCGCTACACTGTGCGATCCTTTGGTATCCGTAGAAATGAAAAGATTGCAGTCCACTGCACGGTCCGTGGAGCCAAGGCTGAGGAAATCCTGGAGAAGGGACTGAAGGTGAGAGGAATGTGTTTATTGGAATTGACCACTTGGGGATATTTGGTGTATTACAACAATTAGCCATGACTGTACCTCTATCCCTCACACTGTGCGAGTTCGGACACTTGGGAGGTTGTGAGCCATTGCACGTGTTACAAGTCAGTTATTCTTGTGTATCCAGACCTTCAGACTCACGACAGAAGGTCTGGACTCCATAGCAGCTTTCATTGGCTGAGGAGCGCCCAGAGGCCGTCTGACTGAAATGTAAAGCAACCAGTAACAGTTTGTTTTGTTCAGCGTCATGTTTAGGGGTGTGAAAATGTAAAGTCGATGTCCCTACAATAACAGACCGGTGTGGAAAACTCTTGGATGCATTTTAAAGGGTATGCGGAAAAGAGAAACTAAAAAGACTTAGTAAAAAGCAGCGAACAGCACAAAACTCAAAATCAACAAAACAATTAGATGGTGTATTTGTGTGTCAGTGTATGTACAGTATAGCCACTGGGATGTAATCTTCATAAATCTAGCCTATTGTGATGTTGTTGTGTATGATTTGGCAAAAGGAAACGGCCTATACACTGATCAAAATCGGCTGACTCCCTGAACATGTTTAAAAATGATCGGAAGGTGTACGTAACCTACTCATCTTGTAAATTCCTCACACAATGCGAGCCATACGAGCATCAATTTCTCCCGAAAAAAAAAAAAAAAAAAATCACCTGCGAGCTCAAATTGAAGTGTACTCCCAACTTTATAGTCCACAGTGGGCTTAAAAAAAAAATCATTCATCTTTTGATTTGTTTTTATTTTGTCCAGGTGCGTGAGTACGAGTTGAGGAAGAACAACTTCTCAGACACCGGAAACTTTGGCTTTGGTATCCAGGAACACATTGATTTGGGCATCAAGTACGACCCAAGCATTGGAATCTACGGCTTGGACTTCTACGTGGTGAGTGACATAAATGACAATAAAGTGCACCCATTTACATTACAGCTGAACCTGTTATAATTAAGGCTTTTAGGAGTTTGTTTTTGAGTTGTGTATTAGTTTTTTGTCTCTACGCTCAGGTTGGCTGAAATTACCAGTTAAATGGATGTTGTAAAAGGGTATTTGTGGGATACCGTGCAGAACGGATGAAAGCAATCGTGTAGTTTAACCTTAACCTGTAACTGCTGTGTTTCTATGATGGAGATGGCTAAGCATCATTTACCTGTTTACTATAGGTTCTTGGCAGACCCGGTTTCAGTATTGCTGACAAGAAGAGGAAGCAGGGCCGCATCGGTGCCAAGCACCGGATCCGCAAGGAGGAAGCAATGCGCTGGTTCCAGCAGAAGGTGTGTTTAAATACCTGTTACACAACTTGACTCCATTCCCAAACAGTCCATGTTCTAGTAGATCTACTTTTTTGCACAGATTGCTGGCCTTGTTTGGCTCAATACTGCGTCCCAGTGCTTCCTTTACTCTTTACAGTTGATTTGATGCTAGACAGACATCTTGGTTTGCTGTTTTTGCAGCAGTAGCTGTGATATTGAGTTGATACCGATTTTTTTTTTTTTTTTTTTTTTTTTTTTTTTTTCAGTTAAATTAAGAGTGAGCCTGAAGTTGAAAAATCCTAAAATTGTACTGTTAAAATGGGCAAACAAGTGGTACAATCATTCAAGTTTAATGATGGAAATAACTAGGGCTGTAGTCGACCAAAGAAATCCTTAGTCGACCAAAGTCTTGTTCTGCGCAACGATTAGTCGACAAAAAAAAAGGAAAAAAGACTTATGTTTTGATTGAACATTTTTTAACAATTGTCAGAGCATTTATAAAACAACAACAAAAAAACATCAAAGATAAAACTATAATAATAATACAATTATTTGAAAATTAAGTGATTATTTTTTTAACTGCAAAAAGTGAGGAGCACTGTCCTAGGTCTATAGTAACAGTCACAATCGCGCATCTGACCACACCACACGCTACAAAAAATATAACTGCTATCTGCCACAATGAAAAATCCTAACAAAAGCTCTCGTATATACAGGCTGTATATTCTTCTTTACTTTCAAAGCTATGGGTTAACTTTTGTCCGGCCGATCTAGGAGTTTTAAAAACACACACAAAAAAACCCAAAGAGCCTAAAAAACAATCCTAATAATAATAGGCTGTATTGTAGGACCGCATATAGGTTTATTTCCGTTTTGTTACATTATTTAGGCTATTTTCAAATGCGTCAAGTGTACAAATAAAAACAAAAACATATCAAGAAAACACAATCTATTGAGTCAGCATGATAAAGCCGTTAAAGGGACTGCTCACGTCTTTTGCGCGCTCAAGTTCGATTTCAAATGTAGGCGCGCGGTGTGCGCGCTCATGATGGAAGCAACGCGGTCGCGGTGCGACGCGCTCTCTTTTTTTTTCCAAGTGCGTCCACGCCGCATCGAGATAAAAACGTGTATAAAAACAAAAACCGAAACGAGTAGCGTTCTAACTGAATGAATACAGCTAAACTACCTACCTACCTTACTGAGCACGAAGCAGCAGCGCAGCCACAGGTGCGAACCGACTGTTCTATGTGTGTGCGCTAAACTGTGGCGCTGTTACAAAATAGCCTAAATTAAAGCATTTAAAGTTAGGGATAAACCATAGGCTAATTATATTTAGAATAAAGTAATATATAACTGCTTATAAAGGAATAAATATCAAGGAGTAAATCATTGAAAATTTCTTTCCATTGGAAAAAAATAAAATAAAAATGCAACTCGTCGACCAATAAGAATGTCAGTCGACCAAGACGGCATCGACCGATTAGTCGACTAAACGACTAAAGTTGACAGCCCTAGAAATAACTTTTTTTTTAACTAGTTTCAGTTTGTGCAGTGCATTCCATATGATTTTGATTTATATATTTAAATATTAAAATAAATATTACTTTTAAATATTAATCTTTTAACCTGTCAGAAGTTCAAGCCTCTTTTTGTATATAGATCTACTGACGATAAATCCTCAGTTGTTTGTTCACATTCTAGTGCTGACTGTAATATTGATAACTTTGTCTTAGTGTTTTCTAATTCAGTTCAAATGTTTTTATACACATAGACTAATGTAGAAGCATGCTTTATATATATATATATATAGTAAGAAGAGCTGTAAATGTAAATTGTGTAAATAAGTCCAATGTGTCTTCTGTTCTTCTGAATTTGCTTACACCATTTTTCTTTGTCTTTCAGTATGATGGCATCATCCTCCCCGGCAAGTAAAGGACCACCTTTTTGAATTTGTAACACAAATAAAAGAAAAATCCCAAATTTGATGCAGTCCGTGTCTTTATTTGTGTGAAGTACAGCTCTGGTGTGTTGCTCAATTCACATCTTTTATTTGTGCGGCAAATTATGACTTAAATGAAATGACTAAATGGTAAGCAATTTTAAAACCTAAATATCAGCTGTACTTGTTTGTATACTATAAAAAGAAATTCATGATTTACTAACTTTGTCAAATCAACTTCAATCAGGGTTTCTATGCATTTTTGCTAAGTATGGAATTTGAATAATTTTCAAGTCTGGAAGAAAAAAAAATTCCAGGCAATTTCCCTTGTTTAGTTTTCTAAAATATAAAATTATCATACAAGCAGTGTCATTTCATGGCAAAAGTTAAGTGATTGTCGAGAAGTAAACAGATGTTATCCAGGTGAATATATGCAGATTATAAAGCGTTTTAGTTTTCTTATGTAAGCGCATGTTTGAATCCATTTGTTTAACATGGTATGAAAAATGTCTTTATCAACAGATTTTTAGTTTCAGTGAACTAAATTAAGGCGATCAGGTTACTTTAAGTTAAAACAACAAATACTTTTTTTCAGTGTAGGTGATACTAATTTTAGGAAGAGCTTATCCCTTCTTGACATCCTTGGATAAGACATATATATATATATATTTATCTAAAGACTTGTGTGATGGTCTATTAATAAATCTATTTATTACTAAAACACAAACTAATGACAGTTGAGGGTGGACTGGTGACTGGTTATGTCAGTTCATGTTTAAGTGAGTATTAGAAATGAATGAAGAGACGTAAATTTGTTTTTAATCAATTTTGCTTTATTTAGTTAAATCCCAGAGATCTAGTCCTAGACACACTCCAGAATCCTAAATCTGTGATATTTTCAATGTTATGCTTTCATTTTTATTTTGTGGTTCAATCACTAAGAGTTTTGTTAGGTGTTTTACTGGTTCTTTTTAGGTCTTTATCTTACAATTATAGGTGGTAGTTGTGACCACTACACATGCAGGTATATACCCTTTATAGACACTTTAAACAAGTTATATCAATGGGTGTGGTAAGCATGAGACATTTTATCGATAGCCAGTCTATAGACTAACTGGGTTAATATGTGTGGTGTTATGCACATTCTTTGGTGGGCAGTATCAATGTATTAGTGCCTAATTGTGTCTCTATGGGGGCATTGACATTTGCACTGTGCCTCTTTGCATATAAAAAGCCTTAAGTACCCCTGAACAACTTTTAAAAGCCAGACCCAATAAATGCAAGAAAACTGATAAACTTGATTAAAAAAAAAAAAAAAAAATAAATATTGAGAGAAATAAATAAACTGATGCACTTGATTCAGTACTACTGAATTTAGTATGGTTTTTAATGATCCTACAATGGTATTTTCAATAAAACTGCCCCTGATAGCACATGTACATCTCAGAGATGTGTTTTTTCATCTGCAAGATGTATTAAAGAGTGTTTGCTCTTCTGTAATACGTCCTGTCAGATGCTAAATAGACGATTAGAAATGTCTTTAAGATGTTTATAATTTAGGATGTCTGTAAAACTGATTTTTAAAGATGTTTGTGCTCAGCAGATGCTTTCCAGATGAACTGCTCTTTAGCAGAAATCTTGGAGACGTACGTGTGCTATCCGAGGCATGGGTCAATTTCTAAAACTCATTAAATCTCAGAAACTAATAGATATATTACTAAATTCCTTGCACTGCTGAGGCTGAAATGTACCTTTCACATTCTTTAAGTACGTCCTAGTTAGTACCTTTTCTTTAAACTCTGTGTACCAAAATGCATCTTTGGAGTTTAAGAACAAGATGACTTCTGTGCTGGCTTTTCCCTTTATGTTGTTACTCCTTACTTTCTACTCTCTAAATCTCCATTTCATCAATACGTCCCTCTCCCTCGCTCTCTCTTTTCTACACTCTAACAATCTCTTCTTTCACCCTGTCTCTCTTTTGCTCTTTGACTTTCCCCAGCTTTCATTTCTCATGCGGTGTTGTGCTGTGTCACTCTGCTCTGGTCTTCATGGGAAGGGGTGTTTCGGTGTCTTCGGGACGCTTGACGTGGGGGCAAAGGTAGGGCACAGCAAGACACTCCCACTATGGGTTCTGGCAGATCTTCCACTGCTGACCAGCTGTCAGTGCCTGAGTCAAAGCGCTGGACCGCTGACTTGTAACGTTTCTCTTCTTCGTTCCACCCACCCAGCAGGTACAGGTGATCTCCAAGTGGGGACATGCCAGCTGTGCTCACTCCTAAGGGAAGGCTTGCCGCTCTTGTCCACTCTTTGCTCTCAGGGGAGAAGACTTCCATGGTCATTACATCAATGCGGACTCCACCGGGACCAAGCTGGCTTCCACCTACAACGTACACCTTACCACCTACTGTTGCAGAGCAGTGCCATCCTCGAGGTGTTTCCAACTCTCCCTGCTCGCTCCAAGTGTCGGTGTCAATGCTATAATGGATGACCGAGCGAGAGTAAGCGCAGTTGACATAGCCGCCAGTCACCAAGATGTCTCCTGATGGTAGGACTGCACTGGCATGGCAGCATCGTGGCATATCCATTGGCGTACGGAGCTGCCAAGTGTTGGTAGAGGGCTGGTAGCTCTCAATAGTGGCCAAGAGGCCATCGGTGTTTCGCCCACCAATGGCATACAGCCGCCCACCAGTGGCCACCAAACTGAAATGTGTACGTCTTTGGCGCATGCTGGTCAGATGCAGCCAGGTGTTGAAGCGAGGATCATATCTGAGGACCAGAAGGTAATGCGGACGGTCAAATAGATTTTAGACCAGGGGTGTCATAGTTTAGCTGGAATCTGCTCAAGCACACACTTGCCTGCAAGTACCTAGTAATCTTTAAAGGGTTAGTTCACCCAAAAATGAAAATGATGTCATTAATGACTCTCCCTCATGTCGTTCCAAGCACGTAAGACCTCCGTTCATCTTCGGAACACAGTTTAAGATATTTTAGATTTAGTCCGAGAGCTCTCTGTCCCTCCATTGAAAATGTATGTACGGTATACTGTCCTTGTCCAGAAAGGAAATAAAGACATCATCAAAGTAGTCCATGTGACATCAGTGGGTTAGTTAGAGTGTATTGAAGCATCGAAAATACATTTTGGTCCAAAAATAACAAAAACTACGACTTTATTCAGCATTGTATTGTCTTCCGGTTCTGTTGTGGATCCGCGTTCAGTGCCGCCGCTGACGTAAGACGCTGCTGACGGGCTTGGGACGACATGAGGGAGAGTCATTAATGACATCATTTTCATTTTTGGGTGAACTAACCCTTTAAGCTTTTGATTATCTGGCATGTTTAATCAGGTTTCTGACCTCTATAGCAGTGGTCTCAAACTCAATTCCTGGAGGGCCACAGCTCTGCACAGTTTAGCTGCAATTCACACCTACTTGGAAGCTATTAGTAATCCTGAAGACCTTGATTAGCTTGATCAGGTGTGTTTGATTAGGGTTGGAGCAAAACTGTGCAGACCTGTGGCCATCCAGGAATTGAGTTTGAGACCACTGCTCTATAGCAAGATGGCTCTCCAGGAGCAGGATTGGACCACCCCTGTATTAGATTCAATTATTTGTGATAACGCACCTGCTAAGAGTGCCAACAGCATGTTTAGCCTGGTTTCGGGCATCATTCTGATCTTCTCCTCCTGCCACATACAGGAATCCATCCATCACAGCCACACACTGGTTGAAGCTCTTTGCTGGCAGCTGAGTAAGATGACGCCATGTAGCCGTTCCCTCTCGAGGATCTCTCCACAGCACCTGGTGAGCAATCAAAATAAAATCAGAAATTTACAGTAGTCAACATTTGAAGTGGATCAAAAAGTTGTCCTAAGACAAAAACGGGTATTGTTCAAAATTCATGCATAACTTTGATGAAAGGTTTTGATCCACTTCAAATGTTGACTACTGTATTTTCTAGTCCATTCTTGCTCCTGGAGGGCCAGAGTTTAGCTTCAAGCTTAATCAAACCTAGCCAAGGTATTCAGCATTACGGAGATAAACTCGCCCCACCAGGAGTTGAATTGGACACCCATTAATCAAAAATACGTCATGGACTTTGTTATATGTACCTCTCGACTCAGGGCACGCTCCGTTAGAGACGGGCGACCCCCAATGGTTAGAAGAACACTCTGGCTTCCCCGGACCTTTGAGCGCCGTGACTGCAGTGTGTTTTGCTGGTAAGGCAGCAAATGGTAGTTCATGGCATCCACCAGAAGACGGTGACACCGAGGATCTAGCATCATACGAGCCACTGGCTGGATCTCACTAACCAGCTCGTTGGCAGGGATGGTCTCGAAGCGCACGTGAGACAGCACTTCTGCAGCATGTTCCTGCCTCTTTGGGTCAAAGTCTAACCACTTCATTGCCATCTAGATTCCAAGAAAAGTTAAAGTGAGTGATCCATATTTAGTATCTAATTCAGTCTACTTTATAAATAGTGTTCATCCTGTGCATGTCTATATCCTTCTCAAGACTCTGTATCTCTTTTTATAGTATGTGCTATGTTTGCCGACATATTTAGCTTTTGATTCACTGTATAAATGGGAGTTCTTAAAGGGATCATCGGATGCCCATTTTCCACAAGCTGGTATGATTCTTTAGGGTCTTCATGTAAAGTTTGTAACATACTTCGGTTAAAATTCCTCAATGGTTGTGTAAAACAACACCCTTTTTACCTCCTCAAAACAGCTCTGTTCACAGCGACCCGTTTCGGTGCATATGACATATTGCTCAGAAAATCCAAACGGCTTGATTGAGTGTTTAGGCTTTTTGAGGATAAAAAAAATGGATTTTTTCATTGTAAGGTGGATGTGTCCACACACTGCAAATACACATTTATATGCAAACACCATAATTTTGCATTTGATTACCGCTTTAAGCTTTTGTAAAATCCCTATTCCTCCTGCGTTTTCATCCGTCTCTCCTTACACTGACCTGGAAGGTGGTGACCTCCGAGGGAAGAACTAGGTTGTCGTCTTGCAGGAAAGATGTGATCTGCTCCAGGGTGAGCTGGTTAAACTGGGCTGTCTCACAAAACTGGGCAAAATTCTCCAGAATGAAGCGCCGGGCGGCCTCGCGGACAGGCATCAGGCCGTACGCAGCGCCGATGTTCCATATGTACACACACGTGTGAGCGTTCACCTCGGACATCATGAACTCCATGCACATCTGGAGAAGATGAGGGATCTGCATTGTGCTCGCCGCAGCCACAGTGCAGCCAATGGTGTACAGGGACATGTGCACACGGCCCAGGTAAGCAAATGTAATCACATTGGCAAGTCCTAAGGAGAAAGATAATACATATATGTCATGGATATTTAATATACAGTCAAACCAAAAATTATTCAGACACCAGATATAATTTTTTATAGTTTTTTACACTATAAAAGTGACACTATAGTACATTTATGTAAGTTAGGATAGCAAAATAAAGTAAACTGTGACATATTATACCCAAAAAATCTTCATACAGTGACTACCAGTAATATTTATAAATTATTCAGACACTTTGACCTGACCATGTTTTGCTTAAGTGTTTTTTCTTTAATTGCTAATGCGACCTTTTTACACCACAGACTAAACAAAATTAAGCATTGCTTGGTAATTGTTTGACCTAAATTGGTTTTATCTAATTGTGTCCTTAAATTTAACAGCTGACAGTTATTCAACCTAATTCATATGTGAGACGGATGGCCAAAACCAGTTTTTGCGACTATAGTGAATAAACTGTGACAATGTGAGAAATGTTAAGGTGTCTGAATACATTTTGGTTTGACTGTAGATTATTCCAGTTGTTTGGGTCACTTGAAATATTTAATAACTTTAACAAATGCAGCCATGTCAGGTGACCCTGTTCCTGGAGCTTATATTAAATATTATCCTGAAGTGATCCTGAAGACATGGTTGGTTTAGGTTTGCTAATATGTTTATATGCTAATACCTCGGATATGTTTTAAGGCTTACCGAGAGGTGAGAGGGTAGGAAGTTCCAGTCGTTTGAGTCCAGGGTCTTTAGCCAGGACTTCACGAAGATATTGGCTGACTGAGGAAATGACTAGTTTGTGAACATCAAATGCCTTGGTTTTGCAGGCCAGTTCCATGTCAGTGAGGAAGCGTTCCTGTCTCATGCGGCTCAGCTCCTCCAGCATAGCGGATCCATGCAGGGGACGGGTTAGCTCAGTGCCCAGGCCGAAACCCTTCTCCCCGGGTCGGATCACAGGGGGCGGCAAGGGAACCCCATTGAGCCGGTTCAGCTGCTCAATATTAAGTGGAAACTCCAGCTTTTTAACGCCCAGCTCTGGGACAACCACTCCACTCTCAACTGTTGTCAATTCAGGTATGGACTTCTTAGGCCGTGGTGACTTCTTTTTGGGAGCCATTGTAATGTGTAGTGTAGGATAGCTTTTAAACGATAGTTCTTTTCTGTGTTTTAAAAAACTGAGCTATGACAAGACAATAGATTGACAGACAGACGGACTACACTTGCAAACTAACAAGCGGAGTATGGTGAGCGATCCGCTTCAGCACACGCTGCCTGAAAAGAAACACAGTAAACATACAGAATGAGTACAATAAACATGAAATGCTTCATAATATCATCAACATGGATGGGTTTACACTCGTGGGTTTATCTCATCTTACTCTTTTACAGTGGGAGGATATAAGGGTGATTGACAGGTGCATGTGGTCCCGAAGGGAGTTCCCAAAAAAGGATATCCAGGTTTAAAATGTATTATAAGCAAGCTGAGTCATTTACAAATAGCATGTACATCATTTTTTTATTGTCATTCCAAATTGAAGATTTATAGTTAATATATATATATATATAAATAAATGTAGTAAATGTAGTGCTGTCATTTTTTTTAATCATTTAGTGATTTTTTTGTAGTTTATTTAAATGATTTTTAATTAATTTGTCAGTAAGGTTTCATTTGTTAACATTAATTAACTACATTAGTTAACATGAACTAACAAAGAAAACATTTCTAAAGCATTTATTAATCTTTGTTAATGTTAATCTCAAAATTTACTAATACATGATTAAAATCAGAAGTTGTATCTGTTCACATTAGTTAATGAAGCTGAACTAACAATGAACAGTTGTGTTTTTATTAATTAATGTTAACAAAGACTAATAAGTACTGTAATGAATGTATTGCTCATTATTGTTAGTTAACATTAGTTAATGCATTAACTAACCTTAGCTAATGGAAACTTATTGCAAAGTGTTACCGAATTGTATAAATTTGGTATAAATATTCCATGTAGTCTCTCCTTTGTTATGAGTGCATAATAACTTCAAAAATGAGTAAATTTTTAAAGACTTTATTAGTATTAGATGGCATAGCATGTCATTGCAGGACACGATATATGCAGTTACATTACTACATTTAATAATGAATATTTGCATTGATATTTGATTTTTATCATAGGATTCAGCCTGTAATGGGGAATGTGTGTACTATTATTATATTAGTAATCCCCACTCATCTGGCAGTTATTATAGATAACCAGGCATGTTACAGATCACGGCATATGCATCCAAAGTAATTTCTTTCCATAATCTCACTTATATTTGCCCATGTTGTTTTTAGTCAGCTCATTGCAAATTTGTATTGTGTCAGAAAGGGGATCGTGCTGTTATCAAAACCAGAACAAAGCAGTCCCCTCAGATAAACAAACAAGTATGATTGGACTGTGATAGACAGGTGTGTTTATGTCTCTTCTAAAAATAGCCTCATAAGAAAATACGGCAGAGGTCGTGCAGCTTAAATTACCCTCATACTGTCATCAGTCCCCTCTCTCTCACCTTCAAACCACAACATAAAGGTCTATTCGTGTCCTCAAAATCAGACGCAGTTGCTTTCATTTAAGTGGAAATGCACGGAAATGACTTAATCCTTGTGCCAAGTGAATCCACCCATTTACAATGACAACCCTTTTCACCAGGGACATGATAAAGACTGCTGCTCGAGTTTCAGCAACAGGTGTTCAAAATATGAGGTGTCTACTTAAACAAGACAAAATAGCAGCATCAATTTTTATATGATTTAAATATAGATGTTGGACAATACAATGCTTAAACCCTGAATGTTAGAGAGCAAATGTTTATGTCAGCAAAAGGCAATAATCATATACATTAAGCTTATACATAAGCCATTTTGTCATTTCCATCTAATCATGTATTGTGTAATAGCATTGATGGAAATGGCAGGATAGAAATGTAATTTTTTTTTTTTTTTTTTTTTTGAATAAAATGACCTTTTTGTCTGGCTGAGGCTAATATGTTAAAATAAAATCAATCTCTGAGACATTTTAGTATATTGTCCAGTCAGAGTGCTGTATTTTTTTTGTGATCCAACAACAAACCTTCCAAATGTTCTGTTTATACACTACGGTATTGTTTTTTTCCTTGCTGGGCGCTAACATTGCGAGATTGGTACTTTCAGTGCTGGGTATATTACTTACAAATACTGATATTAGTTACTGATTCCAAATTACATGACAAAAAATTGTAGTTAGTACAGTGATCCATCACATTACATTACTTCTTTTTGATTACTTTGAGATTACTTTTGACCTTTCTCGTTTATCAAATATATTTGCAATCAAAATAAAACACTTACTAAAAAAACATTTAATTAATTTACCTATTAATTTATTTAATTAACCAACATAAGAGAACTATGAACTTAATTTTATTATTATTATTGACTTAATTTTTTATCATTGACCGAACTTATTAACTTAAAATCAGGAGGTACTTTAAGTAAATATATATTAGGTCAAAGAACTATAGCTGACAAAAAAAGTTAGGCAATCTCTGCATTACATGTAAATATGAAATGACATGAACTTGTACATTTTAATGTGTTTGAAAGACCAAAGCCTTCTAAAGACAGTAATACATGGTTAAATGTCTCACTGAGTGATAATTCAAATAATTCATTGTCAGGAGTTGATTAGATATGCATGTAATGTTTAAATGTTGAGAAAACACGTGGGAAATTATTTCTGTATTTTCCGGTCTCAGTTTTCAGTGATAGTCACATGACTAGTACTGGGTCTGTGTGCAATTCCACAAACCTGGAAGACCTTCTGAACGTATATAAAAAGTAGACCTTTATAGAATGTAAACAAAAACGAGTACGTTTTGTGACGCTTAATATCATTTAGATCAAACCTGCAGTTGTCTGCATATGTTTAAATGATTTCAGGAGTGTTGCAACATAATGTCCGTCATAAAAACACTCTTGTCACTTCTTGTATTTCACCACAGCAGCTGCTGGCCCTGCTGACTAACACACACACACACACACACACACACACACACACACACACACACACACACACACACACACACACACACACACACACACACACACACACACACACACACACACACACACACACACACACACACACACACACACACACACACACACAGCTATTTACAGCATAGAGAGGAAAATGCATGTTTAATGAATGTTTCAGTGATGGGCGTGCAACTATTTGACCCAGATAGACTAATGAAAGTCAACCGGTGATCCTGTAAGATTACTGAAAAGTGATAGTTTCATGTTCTTTAATCTGATGCTGTAAACAAAATGTTCAGGAAGGTTAGAGGTAAGTAGGGGACAAGGACATTTCTATACCTCGCGGAAAGGGAAGGATAAAAAGAGAGGATGAGATTGAAAAGAAGCAGCTGTTACACATGTCAGTGCTAAAAGCTGAATGCCAGGCTGTCTGTCTTCAGTCTAAAACGCTGTAGTGTCGTGGAAAGTCCTACTAACTATTTGTGTCCAACCTCCAACGTGCTTCACCCTCTGCTGGATATTTATAGAGAGTGAGAAACAACCCTCATGTCTTTATTTTTTGCACTCTGACAAGGGTCCGTTTAAATTTAGACCACCCGACTACAGTGGGATGCCATTGATCAGAAATTCATACAGTCTTTGTTTGGATTGAGAGATGTCAGGGATGCATATCCAAAGTGATTTTTAGTTTTCAATCATCTCAAATAAATTGAAGCATTTCTACATGCAGTAATAAGCATGTTAAATGATTCAAGCTTATATTAAACCCAAATAATTTGTGATGCGAACTCGTGCATTAAAGGAATATCTAATGTTCTGTTGCTGTTAAAGCATTCACATGCCAATGTCTAATTTAATGTAATGTATTATTGCACCCTAATCCATTAATTAAAAGAAAGAAAAGCAGTCAGGATGTTTTACCTCTACTTTACAGCTCTTTATCTGCTCTCCTTCTTTGTCCTTCCTTGTTCTCTCATTCGCTTTCTCCCAGTTCTTGAATCCACACTGTTTTCTTTCTCTTCTTGCTAATCTGTCTCTCTCTCTGTCTGTCTGTCTGTCAGGGCAGATATCTGTCGGCAGCAGGAGTTAGTGGGAAAGATGAACCAACCACAGCTCTGCAACACAATCCCACCAGTCCCCAACCCCACCTACATATCCCTCTCCATATATATATATATACAGCCATCCACCCCTCCCCAAAAAACACTGTCCATATCCAGCTTGTCCTCTTAACTCCAACCTGATAGGACAGAGGCAGTGTTATTCTTACAGCCATGACGAGATCAGGGCCATGACATTGCCCAATATTTAGATCCGAGTGGTATTTTTCAATGGCAGATTCGGTATTCTGTTTGGTCCTACTCCAAAATGTATAATAATAATATCCTAATAATATTATTATATTAACCAGCCAGTACCATGGTAATGTTACAGTATTTCTGTAAGGGTATTAAAAATATTAAAATATTTTACATTTTCCTTATTCAGTAGGCCTGTACATTTCAGTCTCCAGTCTGTGATGATGCTTGAGCATTTGCTTGCGTCTTTAGTCAAGTAGATGCTTTACTGTTGTTGTGGTGAGTCCTTTTATTTTAATAATTTAAAGGGATAGTTCACCCAAAATTTTTAATTTCTTTCATTAATTACTCACCCTCATGCCGTTTCAAACCCATAAGATTTTCGGGTCCCACTTTATATTAAGTGGCTTTAAGTACTATGTACTTACATTGAAATTAATAATTTGATACAATGGACTTATACATGTTTTTACATTGTACTTATATTTTAAAAATACCAGCATGTAATTACAGCTGTAATTAATTTATGTAATTACACAGTTGACCCTTCCCTTACACCTTAACCCACCCTTATACCTACCCATACCACCACACCTGACCCTAACCTTACCTGTATCACACCTCAATAGGTGCAAAAGTGTTTTACAATACAACATGAACACAATAAGTACATTGTACTTATTTTTCCATGTAAGTACATAGTACTTAAAGCCACTTAATATAAAGTGGGACCGACTTTCGTTCATCTTCGGAATACAAATTAAGATATTTTTGATGAAATCTGAGAGCTTTCTGTCCCTCCATTGACAGCTACGCAACTACCACTTTGACGCTTCATAAAGTTCATAAGAGATTGTACAACTAATCCATATGAATTGAGCAGTTTAGTCCAAATTTTCTAAGGAGACTCGGCCGCTTTATATTGAACAGATTGAATTTAGGCTTTTATTCACATATAACCTTTGATTAGTGAACATAAACAGAAGCTCAACCGAACCTGGTCATTGGTTCTTGCTGAAGCTCAAAAGTGCCGCATAACACAAGAATGAACCTCATTGGTTCTCGCACGTCAAGCGAACATGCTTTAGCTTCTGTTTACCACAACTGATGTGTGAGTCGATGAATGTTTGTGAATAAAAGCCTAAATTCAGTCTGTTCATCATATAAAGCCATTGCAAATTATAAGATTATAGTTTGCTAGTAAAAACTGACGACTCTATTTAACCTCTCTTAGTAGAATGTATCTGAAATACCCACAACCTTGAATTATAAAAGCATCATGACCTCATCGAGTGATCAAGATGGCTTTATGACAGCGGTATTACGTATTTCCGGTTTTTGTATTCGGAGTGACGGAAGTTCGTAGCAGTCTGAAACAACAGCAGGCCCCCACTTCCGGGCAATATGTACCAGCTGTAAACATGGCGGAGGAGCTAATGGAAGTAGTCGAGAAGTTGCGATTGAGGCTCGAGGAGAATCAAGAGCCTCGCAAGGTAATACACCCTTTCTCTGAGACGAAGCCAACACTTTACGTCGACGCTTTCGCGCCGTGTATTACTGTGTTATACGCGCTTCTGGTCGTGTCTAGTCTAAGGATCGTGCAAAATTGCTATCCAGAAATCTCACGTATAACAATTACAACAGCAGCAGACCGTGAAATGAATGATCGATCAGATAAATCAATCTGGATGGTGCTTTTTCCTTAAATATGATTCAGAGGAAGCAGAATCAGGCACTTTCTCAGAAGCTAATGCTCAGTTAGCAGAAATGACAACCATAGCAATTTATTATGATAACAGTGACAGATGAAGACAGGCCGTGATAGTGCAGCAGAGTGCATGTTACTCTCTATAAAACATGGTTCTTCCGCAATACTCGCTGTACTTACACTAAGGCTGTGTCTCAAATTTAGTGAACTGCCTACGTACTAGGTGGCATTATTGTGTAGAGCCGAGTTTCAGATGCGACCCCCCTGTTCCCCTGGAGGCCACGACTACACTTTAATGTCTTGTTAATGTCTTGCACTTAAATGTCTTGTTTGGTAAATCTGGCAATTTTGGTTTGGTAAATGAGTCTTGGACACTATACAATAAACTAATAACTTTGACACTACTGTTATTTACACAGATGTCTAGTACTACCATGTTCTTTGGACACTGCACCATGTTCTTACCATACTCTTTTTGGCATGAACAATTCCTTGAAATATGTACATATCATGGTGCATGATATGGTACTGCCAGTATTTTTCTAAGAGTTATCTATATGGTTAATCTATATTTAATGTGTTTGGGTTAGTGCTGTCAAATCGATTAATCGCGTGTAACATAATATTCACATAATATGTGTGTGTGTGTACTGTAAATATATATGTATGTTATATGTTTCTCTGTGTATGTGTATACGTGTATATATACACAGAAATGTACACGCACATATATATGTAATTATAATAAAATGTATACACATATTATGTTAACAAAAACTTTTATGTTAATGCGATTAATCGGTTTGACAGCACTAATTTGGGTATATATATATATAACTACGCTCACATCTCTTTTCTGTGGTTTTAGGTTTAGTTTTATACAATGATGCGATTCGTGTTTTAGTATTATATATGTTAAATACATTGTAAATGATTTTTTTTTTGTAGGTAATAAGAATAATGTAGTTGTCCACAAACAGTGCAGATAAATGCTTGATTTGATCATTTTGACAATATGCTCCTTAATTACAATATTGTTGTTGTCATGGTCCAAAATTTAAATTTTTCCACAACTGGCAATGGTGGGTGTAACGAGAAAATGTATCAGCCATAAATGTTTATTACTGTCAAATGCAACTGTGTATATATATATCTGTATAAACATGACAATGGATTAATTATTCTCTTGTCTGTGATATGCGTTCATATTTTTCTTCCTTGTTCTGTCTAGCTTCTGAAAACTCTCAAAAGGTTGGGGGAGCTGCCCATGACGGTAGACATCCTGGTGGTAAGATCAAAATATTGCTTATCTTCACATCTATTACTTTTGGTTTGATCTCACAGATCTCTAGCTTTTAATATGTTTATGTTTTCTCTGATTCTTGCAGGAAACTGGCATTGGGAAGGCTGTGAATTCTCTGCGCAAACATGAATTTGCTGGGGAGGTTGCGAAGAACCTTGTGGCCAAGTGGAAAAAGCTGGTGCCAGAGAGATCTGCAGACAGGTAAGCTTCTTAAAGTGATCTATTATCTGCTAATTTCATTGCAATTAAGTTTTTTTAGGTAATGAAAATGCAGAACTTCTTAGTAAAGAAAACCGAAACTGAAACAACTGTTCTTTAGAATATGCTCATGGTCCAGAATTAACTTTGTCACAACTGCCTAAGGCGAGTGATTTGAGAAAAATGTATGGGCCATACATATTTTTATATATGTTTAGGGAAGGTGATGTTTTTTCTTGAAGTCTCTTATGCTCAGAAAGTCTGCATATATTTGATCAAAAATCTTAATATTGAGAATTTTTTCCATGTGAAATATATTTTAAAATGTAATTTATTCCTGTGAACAAAGCTGAATTTTCAGCATCATTACTCCAGTCTTCAGTGTCACATGATCCTTCAGAAATCACTCTAATATGATGATTTGCTGCTCAAGAAACATTTATCATCATCAATGTTAAAAGCAACTAATTAACTTCATTATTTTGTGGGAACATTATCATTTTTTTCAGGATTCTTTGATAAATAGAAATGTCAAAAGAAAAGCATTTATTTGAAATGTATATATTTTGGTAACAATGTAGATGTCTTTACTGTCAATTTAGATCAATTTAATGGATCCTTGCCGAGTAAAAGTATTAATTTCTTATAAGAAAGTCTTAATGACCCCAAACTTTTGAACCGTAGTGAATATAAGTTACCACTGCTGATGAGTTTTACTCTAAGTTGATGTTTGTTGGGTGTTAATTTTGGAACCGTGGCAATGTTGTGAGATAAGAGATGAATAATAAGCTTATATATGGTTCATGTTTATCAATAGACCAACTGTAAAGGAGGGGCGTTCCCACTCACGCATTAATGAGTCTGGAGGGCACAAACGAGTCCGGGAACGGTCTCCGGACGAACCTCCACTTATGGAGGAAGAGCAACACGACGAGATGGAATACCAGCATGGTTACTCGCCCTCGCCTCCACAGCACTACAGCTCACAGTACAGACACAGCAGTGCAAGGGGGTATCAGTCAGATGAGTATGAAAGCCCTCCAGAAGAGGAGCCGGAGCATGAGCATGAGCCGGAGCCTGAGCCTAGTCCCCCACGAAATGACATTAGACACAACAAGCCACACAAAGAGCCAGTCAGAGAGCACAGTTCCCAAGACATACGGGAACAGGAGAGACGGAAGCACCGACCCACGGGTGGCGGCAGCAGCAAGGCGAGGACGCATAGAGCCGAACGAGAGCAACAGGGTGGGACGAGTCACAAATCTAAACATGATCGACATTTAAGCTCACACGAGAGCAAAAAGGAAAAGAAAGGAGGAAGTGATGGTAAGAAGTCTCTTATGCTCACCAAGTCTGCTTTTATTTCATGACAAATACAGTAATATTGTGAAATATTAATACAATTTAAAACAGCAGTTTTAATGAATTTTAAAATCAACTTTTTTCAGCATCGTTACTCCAGTCTTCAACCATGATTGTTTTAAGGATTCTTTGATGAATAGAAAGTTCAAAAGAACCACATTTATATTATGAATATATTCATAACATTTAAATGTCTTTACTGTCACTTTTGATCAATTTAATACATTCTTTCTGAATACGAGTTGTTTGTTTATTCTAAGTATAAGATTTTAGCTGGATCTGCTTTTGTCTTTAAGGAAAATCAAGGGAGAGGGGGGAAGTTCCAGAGAAAATGAATGAGGAAGAGGAGCCTTTTGAAGCTCCAACCATGTCTTTTGAATCCTTCCTCACGTACGACGCTCCGACCCCAAGCAAAAAGAAGAAAAAGCAGTCCTCGCGACCCCCTCAGCCTCCTGCCTCGGTCCCTTCGGCTTCCTCGAAGTCTGGCAAGGCTAACGGGACCAGCAGTAAACACTCAAAGCCACCCTCTTCCTCAGCGACCACGCCTGCTGTTCCAGAGAAACGCAGGAAGGTGAGGCTGAACTTGTTATTCTGGTGGGGTGAAGGGATTTGTCAAAGGATTTCTAATCATTATTTCTCCAGGTAGTGGATGTGGTTCCCATGCTGCCTGATATCCCTTTGCCATCCATCCAGCCCAACTACAGGCCACTGCCCTCCATTGATCTTACGCCACTGTCCCCCCAGAGACGCAAAAGTACGTGTTTTTTATAGTGCTGTCAAACGATTAAAATATTTAATCGCGATTAATCGCATTAATGTCATAGTTAACTCGCGATTAATCGCACATTTTTATCTATTCTAAATGTCTCTTGATTTCTTTTTGTCCCATTATTTTTTCTCATTTTAATGCTCTTATCAACATAGAAAAGTGGATCGGCTTGCTTTGTGCAAATGTTTTTTATTGAAAACAACATTGGCATATACAGTGTTCAATTTCACACAAACATTATCACTTGGAGCAAATAATCTCTTAATGTAACACTGTCCATCAATAAAAGGGTGAAAGAAATACTGACGAGGTCCTGATATTGACGAGGGGGCGGAGAATTCGCATCAGCTGTGTGTGTGTGTGTGTGTGTGTGCTTGGCCATCATCAAGTGGTATTTCAGACTGGACGTGCTGCGATGATAATAGCTCAGTTCACAACGACAAAACACACAGATCACTTTGGTCTTGTCAATGGAACCATTTGGCAACTTATTAAAAGTAAACTTTCCATTCAGAATCTTATTGGCATCCATTTCGGCGTCTCGCGCTCGTCATCCGCTCAAAACGTAACGTTAACCTACTATTTGGCCGGCTCGCAAGCCCAAACGAGTGCCTGTTGTTTTGTTTCCAGTCTAGCTAGATCCGGCTCGCGCTTTGGTCGGCGAAGCAACAAAACTGGTCGGCGAAGCAACAAAACGTCCTCGCGCGGCGCAAGCCATTGAAATGAATGGGTTTCATCGCGCATGCCGTGTCCTGTTGCAAAAGCATGTGAAAAAAACCTACAGTTTGCTAGGCCAAAAAGACCATTAATCGCGCGATAAAAAAATGAACGCCTTTAAAATGGGTTTGTGTTAACGCCGTTAATAACGCGTTTAACTGACAGCCCTAGTTTTTTAGTTTTAGAACACTTTAAAGAGGACCTATTATGTTCAACTTTCTTTAGTGTGTAATGTTGCTGTTTGAGCAAAAAAAAAGCTCTGCAAAGTTACAAAGCACAGAGTCCCTCCAGCGGGAGTTATTCTCTATATCAGTGTCAGTGTTTCTGAACCCCCTGAAACGCCTCCATTGTAGTCTTGAGTTTTCTTCCGGGAACGAACACGTCACAATATTCCTCATTTAAATAATTCCCACAAAATAAAGGGGCGGGGTCTGGTTGAGTTAGTTAGTAGCGTGTTGTAACTGGGCTGCGTTCCAGTCCACTTACCTCGTTTCCATCAAAAAAGAACTGGTTCGGAACTGGTGCTGGTTCAAAGTTGGTTCAACTTGTGAACCTTCTCAGAACCGGTTTGTTTTTCCACTGACTAGAGAGCCCAGCGAACGACGTCGTTACGTCACTGTGTACGTCGCCATACGTCTTAGCTTTCCCATTCCCGATGCTTGTTGGTCACAATAATCCCGCCCCCAGCCCCCGACGTAAGCATGACGTGGTAAAAGAACTGTTCTAGTCCAGCAAAGAGTTGGTGACGCTTAGGAACCAATTTTCCTGGCCGAGAACCGGTTCTTTGGCTGTCGAAACACAAAGAACTGGTTCGCGAGTAGGCACTGGCTCCAAACCGGCTCTCAAAATGCTTTGGTGGAAAAGGGGTATTTTAGACACGCACTTGCGAACTTCCCTTAGCACTTCCCCTCGGGTGAATCCCTGCCGCCATTTTGAAGTGTGTTCCACTTCGTGAAGTGGATGAGGGAAGTTTATATGGACCAGACCCTCGCTCCCTCGATTTTGACCGAGGGAGCGAGTCTACTTCATATGTACACTTCAGGCAACTCCATATACCACAATGCAACACAATTGTGACGTCAACGCAATATTGCGTTTAATTTACCCCACCACAAACAACTCTGATATATTAATTATAAAAATAAAAAAATAAACAACTCAAACACTCCTATATACATATAGCCAGCAGCCATATCACCCTGTAGCCCAAGACTGGTTGCCCACTGAAGCTAAGCAGGGCTGAGCCTGGTTAGTACCTGGATGGGAGACCTTCTGAGAAAACCAGGTTGCTGCTGGAAGAGGTGTTAGTGAGGCCAGCAGGGGGTGCTCACCCTGTGGTCTGTGTGGGTCCTAACGCCCCAGTATAGTGACGGGGACACTATACTGTCAATTGAGCACCGTCCTTCGGATGAGACGTTAAACTGAGGTCCTGACTCTCTGTGGTCACAAAAAATCCCAGGATGTCTTTCGAAAGAGTAGGGGTGTAACCCCGGCATCCTGGCCAAATTTGCCCAGTGGCCTCTGTCCATCATGGCCTCCTAATCATCCCCATATATATATATATATATATATACCAATTGGCTTGATCACTCTGTCTCCTCTCCACCAGTAAGCTGGTGTGTGGTGAGCGTTCTGGCGCACTATGGCTGCCGTCGCATCATCCAGGTGGATGCTGCACATTGGTGGTGGTTGAGGAGATTCCCCCTTCTATGTGAAGCGCTTTGAGTGTCCAGAAAAGCGCTATATAAATGTGATGAATTATATAGAATGCTGCATTAAACAATTTCGTAAGGGATAGAAAATAATAATAAATCAAACCCATAGTGGATTCTAAGTGATCAAGTGATCTTAGCACGTTCCAGTTCAGCCTATTGCAAAGGTTTCTCCAGTAGTGGGCACTCATGCAACGTAAGCAATGACTTGCATCCGAGTGAACGAGACGGAGGAAAGTTGGCGAGTGAAAGGCATGACAATTTTGGAATAGAACGGTTATGGTAAGGGGCGGGACATGTCAAACACGCTTGAAGCGCTTGACCAATCACAAAACACTGGTCCGGGCGACCAATCAGAGCACAGTGTGCTTTTCAGAAGGAGGGGCTTTATAGAGACAGGAACTAAACAGAGCGTTACTGACAGACTGGGAAGTGATGAGCTGCAACAATGTCAAATGTGTGAAAAAATAAGATTTTTTTTTATTCAAGCATAAAAACCTATTCTAGTAGTCTAGAGCCCAAAAACAAAATCAAGACAAAATATGCCCCTTTAAATCAAACTGCCTAACATACCTGAAAGAAACAGAAGTGTATACATCCCAATGATTCTGTCTGCATTGACTCCTCCTGCATTGACATGTTTTTCTCCTTCAGTCGCTGTGTCAAATGACGAAGAGGATCTTGGCTGCGCAGGTCGAAGGCTGAACTCCAAAATGGTTGTGTACTCTGGGTCCAAGTCCGCGTATTTGCCGAAAATGATGTCTCTGTATGATCAGTGCATTAGAGTCCTGCAGAACAATATAGATTGTGAGTTTTCTCATTCTCTGATTATTTGTTTTAATAATATTTTAATTAAACACTTCAGTATAGTGTTTAGCCCTTATGGGATATTACATAACAAATCACATCTCAAGAGTCACAGATGGCTGTGTGTGAAAAAATCTGGTTACAGAAACCGCACTTTAAATTGCCATATTCAAATCGCTGTAAAGGATGTCATGATGTTTCAGGCTGGCCGAAGTGTTTACCGCATACATCACCTAAAAATTTATCAGCTTTTGACTGATATTTTTTTTTTTTTTTTTTTTTTAGCAATTGATGAAGTGGGCGGAGTGCCATTTGAGATTCTGGAGCCGGTTCTGGAGAGATGCACGCCTGAGCAGCTTTACAGGATTGAGCAGTGTAATCAGGTATGTGTGTCAAGTTGTCAACAGTCACGTGCAGATTATCTATTTTACAGTTTTAATCACATACCTGTTGTGGTATTCTACATGCATTATATTAATACATTAAATTAAACATAAGCGACAGTAAAGATATTTATAATTTTACTAAAGATTTAGCTGAGTAGGCTCTTGAAAAGGCGAGCTTTAGAGAGACCGAATGCTTTATCGAACTGTTTCAGACACTGATGATATTGCAATGGACTGTATGTTATGAGAAAAAGTAGGTTTTTTTTTGTTTGTTTTTTACCTTGGATGCATGTAAACCTACTGTTGGAGACAAAATTATGAGCCTTTAAAATAGCATAATAGGGCATTTTAAGCAGCACATGTGTTTTCTGAAACCAAGCAGCATATTAGAATGATTTCTGAAAGATCATGTGACTGAAGACTGGATTAATGATGCTGAAAATTCTGCTTTGCAACACAGGATTAAATTACAGTTTAAAATATATTGCAATAAAAAAAGTTATTTTTAATTTATAATAGTATTTCACAATATTACTGTTTTTGATTAAATAAATGCAGTCTTAGTGAGCAAGAGAGACTTCTTACAAAACATTAAAAAAGCTTACTAACCCCAAGCTTTTGAACATTAGTCATTTATCTCAAGATTAACGCTGCATGCAAGGTTTTCCCAAGAAAACTTATGAAGATTTTTTTGCTCATTTTGGGCAAATCTTTGATTGCAAGTGTATCTTCTCAGTATTTCACAGAAGAGTCAGATGATCTGTGGATGAGACACTGCAAGCGGGATTTTAGACGTGAAACTCCTCAAGAGTATGAATCCTGGAGGGAGCTGTATCTCCGGCTCCATGAAGAACGGGAAGAACGTCTGCGCAAGCTCACGATGAACATCAGCTCTGCCCATGCAAACAAACCTAAAGGTGCTCGCAGGCAGTAGTCAGTACATTTAGATCTAAGTTAATGCATAAACGTTTACTTTTCAGTAAAGCTGTCAATTTAACTCATAATAAAATTAATACAAGACTTGTTGGGGGAAAAATATTATTGTACAGCAAACATATATATTTGGCTTAAAGGTGCAGTATGCAATTTCTGAGACTCAATGTTGAACACTGTTGATATTTTAAATTCAATCCAAACAAACGCACCACTTTCATTGCTCCGCCCTCAAAATGCACAAACACACAATGCAGTGGATGTCTCCTTATCCTAGAAGAAGTGAAGCAAAATAAAGCTTGTGAAAAGCGAGGAAGTGGTATTTCTCTGAGTTTTTCTCTCTTGTAATGTCTCTCAGCCATCTCTTTCTACAGTCATTCTTCAAATCTCCCTCTTGCTCACTCTCTCTCCTCCCCCATCATGGGAGGACACGCCCCCTACTGCTAATTGGCTACAAGTTAGTTGTGGTGCTTTCAACAGTGTTTCTCAGAAATCACTTACTGCACCTTTAATTCACTTTTTATAATGTCTATTCAAAGCTTTGCTTATCTAACATGTCAGATGGCAATGTCTTTGAATATCATCCATTTCAATATTTGGTGAGAAACTCCCCCAAATGAAGATAATTCAATTAATTAATTAATCAGCACATCATGCAGTTAATTCAACTCAATATTTTTTGCAAAAAAAGTAAATTGCTTAAACATATTAACTAAATGAGTGAAATAAAAATGTCGCTGTGGATTCAGTGACCAGTGCTCACAATCAATGTTTGTAATATATTATTGACTTTTATCAGGACGGCAAGTTAAAATGGCGTATGTTAACTCCGCCGCTAAGCCTCCGCGGAATATCCTCCGTCTTCAAGAGAAGTTTGGCACTAAAAATGGTTCCACCAGCACAAGCTCTGCTCCTCCATCTGCCAGGTGAGTGAATACTGCATTAATCTTTATTATGATGTTCCTGCTGACAATCTTCTTTTCTTCAACCCCCCCAAAGTTTCTCAGATTTTTTGTTGTTGTAACTGGATTTTTGGGAGTTCACACTTGGCAGGTTTGTTTTGTTTAAAACAAACTCTGGTGCGATTGCTCTGTTAGTGTGGTTCATTTGAATAAGTGTGAACGCTGTCATCTTGTGACACCAAACAATTGGACCTAGACGCTGAAAAGATGAGTCTCTGTCCGCTTCCAAACAAACTCTGGTGCGGTTCGAATTAAATATGAAAGCAACACGGACCAAAGACCAAAAACGGTACATGATGTCACAAGTTGTGAGCCTATAAAGGACAGAATGCTCAAACATACCTGTTTTTTCTCATCATACTTGCGATGTTGATCTTCGTTCGTGTGTGACGGAGGGATTCCTGACGCTGTTTTGACTCCTTTACACATTTTATAAGCTCTACAGGAGTTCTCAGCTGGTCAAAATACCATCATATGTAGCTACGCACATACAACGAGCGCATTTAGCCCTCGATTTGAATGTTCGGTGGCCGGGTGCGCAATGTGCGATTTATAATAGTCCTTTTACGATTGTTCCTTTTCAGACTGTACGAACATGCCATGTCACAATATAAGATCCAAGTTTTCATTAATGTCAGACTGCACGATAGTCAAGACGTGTTAAAAATGGACACGCAAGAAAACTCGTCCGGAGTTTTACATCATCAATCAGTGACGTGTTCGGTGACTGTGAGCTGCATTACACGCAGGATTGAAATGGTGGCTACAAAGAAATCTCTAACGTTAATTATGGTCATGGCTTGTCTTGAAAAACGAAGACAATTTGACGGTCGTCGTAGCAGAAGTCACACTGCAGGACTGTGAGTCAAATCTTCTGACACTGCCAGAATAAAATTTTAGCGCAATGGTCATTAATCGGCTGTCGGTGAACATGTCAAATTAACGATCAAAGACTTCAAATTTTTGCCTAGGATCAGAGGAATCTTTTTAGGATTTGCAAAATTTGTCTCAGATGGTCAAATCATGGCCAAAATCGTACAGTGTGAACCCGGCTTAAGTTCCATTGTGAAATATATACATAATAAAAGCCCACCAATCAGGTTGTGAACATATCCCTATGTATTTATGGTCGGTATTAAAATGCCAGTGTGACCGGACCAAAAAAACCAAGCAAACCGAACTTCAAGTGTGAACACACCCTAAAGTCACCATGAAATCAAAATGGACAATACTTGTTTTTGTAATGAAATATTCTAGTATTTATTATAAATGATTTATCCGTGCACGCTGTTATTTTTTTTAAATCAAGTCCCGCCCTATACTTGTTCTTGTCCGAGAAGCCGTTTCACTCGGATATACGTCACAATATGGGAAGAAAAGACTACCGCAACTTCAGTTTCATGCTGACTTTATGATGCTAACTCTTGATTCTTCATATGCAGGATCAGACCAGCAACAAACTACAGCTCCCATAGCAAACCCGCCGAGGTTGGTCAGTCTTCTGTTAGCAGCCCCCCTGAGTCCTCCTCACGCTCCTCTGCTCCCAGCACTGCTGGTGGACACAGTGCCAGAGACAAACCACAAGTCAAAAGTGAGTCAAAAATAAACATGATCGCTCAGCTGCTGCTGTTACACATTTATCTACAGCTATCAGTGTTTATACCCCCCCCCCCCCTAAATTGCTGACGAAATCCAGTCATAAAAAATAAATTTACTGTATAACGCGGAATTTCATGGAATTTGTCAATCTTTTGAGGAATAATTAGAAAGCAGTTCAGTACACTTGAAATCAAATCGCGATGTAGACAAGTGTGTGAGGATATTAAACCACAAAGACAATTTAAATACGAATCCTGCTTGTTCTGTGTGAATGAATGGTGCAGCCGACGCGCAGTTTCATTTAACACACACACACACTGAAGCACGTGTGACGCTTGCGCTGTTTTTTTGGCCTATATGAAGACACAAATGCATGAACTTCCTCTCCAGGCTCTAGATCCACTCCGAAAGTCACTTCGTGATCATTTAACCGCTTCATTTGAGAAAAACTATCATTATGACATAAACACACAAACTCAAAAGGTCTTCACGGCAACCCGTCATGAATAAAAGTTCGGTTTAATTACTTGACAGAAAAATATTACCGTTGTACAGTAGAATTTAGATATGTCCCAATGTAATAATACTAACACTAATCCAAATAAATTATCATCAAAACTGAATTTTTTAAGGAATAATCCATGTTTTAATTTTAGCAGTAAAGCTCATTGTGCAGCACGTTATTTGACAAAAAGTTTATTTAATTTCATATGATTAAAATTGATGATAAATGATAAAATTTGTGTTTTATGTCTTCATTTTATTACCAGAAAAAACACAACACAGAATTAGTGTGAATGTTTTTTTCATATTTTTTTTTTAAATGTTGTATACGTCTAATGATTCATAATACACTATTTCAATTAATTAGACATGCTTTTTGATTGCTAAAAAATGTACACCACGTATCAGTAACACGCCCGCTCCGCAACACTAGCAGTCGAAAAAAACTGAAAAAAAAAAGAAAAAACCCCCCCCCCTGAAAAAAAATCCTAGGGGAAACACTGGCTATGTATACTTTAGCTCCTTGTTATTTGTTATATAATGATTTCTTTCATAGAAATGGATGTATTGTAGCCTGGCAAGCCAGACCCACATCAAGATGTTGGGTCTGGGAACTCACCATTGGCAGAGCTCAATCCGAGGGGTGGGATAAACGATTGTCTTTTATTCCCTCTGCACGCAATAGGATAGCGTTACAACTAACCAGAGCGTTTTCCCACCAGCGGAGCTAGTTGATAGATTCAACTTTTGCTGTATCTGGTCGGCAAAACTACAAACACATCTTTCTTTTTTTAAAATGACTTAAGATCCGTACTTTTCTCAAAGAAAAGCTTAACTCCAAGACAAGTCCTCTAGAGTCACGGCCAAAGCCGATTCGAAAGACCGCAGTTCGCCAGTTTCATTCTTTGTTTTCAAGTAGCAGGGAACCGTCGTAACTCTGTCGTCAGTATGTAAAGCCCGCCCGCCGACTCTATACACGATGTGATTGGCCTGACTAGAGTTTGGTTTTCCAGCTCGCGAGCCAACGGAGAGTTGCTAGACCACCCTGGCTGCAAAATAAAATTTGCTGCCGCTAGGATGCGTCTAGATTTCTAGGATAGGTGTATTGTACAGTAGTGGCCAAAAGTGATGTTCGGCCTAGGAAAATTAACTTAAGCATTTATTCTAATGTTAAAGATTTCGTATACATATTACATAGTCAATTGCTAAATTGTACGGACATAATTTTTGGACATACTCTTTTCATACAAAGAAATTATGAATGCGTGCAAAAACAAGAGACAACCAACAAAATAGTATTAGTTGATTATGTTAGTCAATGTATGATTTTTCCTGTCAGCTTTTTTTTTTTTTTTTAGGCATTTTTTTGCATGGTAAAATAAAACCTGTTGCTGTAGTTTGCCTTTTTTTTTTTTTTTTGCCAAATAATTTTGTCAGATAAATGCCTTACCCCCACGTTAAGTGATTTTGTTCTTACCTTATATTTAAAATATTTTAAAAATATACGTATTTTCCTCATTTTGGAAACTTGTAGGGTCATTAAAACCAAATATCAAATACCAGACATCACTTTTGACCACTACTGTATATTAACCAGGTGTTGATAAAATCATGTCCAATATTTTCCCCATTGAACTGGTTATGTTTGGACATTTTTACCACTTGTCTGTGTTTTCTGTTTCAGAAATTGCTCCTATGATGGCTAAGACTATCAAGGCATTCAAGAACAGATTTTCTCGGCGGTAAAAGGGAAAAATGTTTTATGTGTGTGTGATATATGAGAGAACAACTGGAGGAAAAAAAAACTTTTATTCTGTAATGCTTCATAGGAAATGTGCAATGCCCTCTCACTTCTTATGTTTTAATGCTTTTTAATATTACCAGTACAGCTCAATGGACGCAATTACAAAAAGATATCAGCATCAGCAACCATCCACACTCAATTGTCATAGCATGTCGTAAGCTTTTTCAAACACCGAAAAACATGTGGTACACTACAGATTACCATGAGACACCACAACCCAGATTCACTGTTACATGTTTATTTAATTGCTAAACTATAATCACTGCATCGTCATGGGACTAAGTATATGATTTTATGGTAGAGTGAGAATGAGATAAGATGTAAAAAGTTCAAGGACTGTACACTTCCTCACCATCATATTTATTATTTTAAATCTTGGACCTGGCAGCCCTGGACCTTGCCTTGAATGAAAGATCAAGTCATTTTAATAGATTTTATGAAGTGTTCTATGGACATTTTTAATAAAATCCATGTGTTGCTCTCACTATTTTCTTATTTATTTGTGTATGAATGTATATTTAATATAATTTTATGCTGAATTGTTTTGGTTATGATCCAGTAATTTCACTCTGCCCTTTCACTTGAAATGAATATCGGCATTTCTCACTCATCCTCATGTTGTCCCAAACCTGTATGACTTTCTTTCGTCAGTGGAATTTAAAAGATGTTAGTGGCTAGTTCACTATTTTTTTTTTATACAATGAAAGTAAAGCGAGATTGTATTTCTGCCAAAAACATTTAATTTTTAAAGGCTAGATTAGAGGTTTAGAACAGTGAGTAAATAATGACAATTTTCTAATTGATTTAATTGCTTTAATATATTGGAACAGACTGTTTTTTCCCTATTGAATGGAAAATCTTAAAACAACAAAATGGCATAAAAGTCAATATACAGAGAAAACTGGCATTGAAGACTCAACACAGCAGAACCATATTGAATCCAAAATGCACAGAATACATACAATTAAATAATAGTAACTGCAACAGATTATATAATGCAAGCGAATTATACAGCTGTATTGCATTTTACTGATGGCATCTGAGAAGTATTTTAATTAGTATAACAACCAAAGTAGGGTGTTTAAAGAATTTACATTTATGTATAAAGTATTTTGCCTGGAACGGACTGCTTTGTTTCCACTTTATTTACGCTGACGCGGAGACGCGGAGCGACCATTGCGTCACAAAAACGCGACCCCCAATTCGGCTCCTCATTGGTTCCCTTGCTTTTTAAGGTCCAATCAATCACATTCCACCTTTCGTATTTGCGTGTTGTCTACTACTTTTCAGCTTCTACCACCTGTGTGTAACTGCGATTTTTCACAGAAGCCGCTCGAGCTGTCGAATATCGCTCATTAGAGCATAGTTGTGAGTGTTTTGGCACTTTTCCCGTTGTTCACACACCATGTCTGGCCATGGTCACGGCCACGGCCACGGCCACGGCTGCTGTGAATGCGAGCACGAGCCCGCTGAGCGAGGAGTGGAATATGAGCTGTACAAACGCATTGATATCGAGAAGCTTCAGTGTTTGAACGAGAGCCGAGACGGAGACGGGAAACTGGTCTTCAAGCCTTGGGATCAACGCACTGACAGGACGAAGGTACGCAATTATATAGTGTATAGAACAATAGTTTTGCTGGAGATTTTTGACAGCAAGCTTAGAGCCACCACATATATTATAATCTTAAGAGTAAAGGTTTACCACCTTTTTTTTTTTTACACATTTCATGTGCTTTCTTAGGTGGCGATGGGATGTTTGTTGTATATTGTGTGTGTATGTATGTCTATATATGAATACGAATGCATATAAATAGGTGTGTGTGTGTATGTAGCCTATATATATATATATATATATACACACACACACACGTACATAATGTTTTATATATATATATATATATATATAAGAATAGAGAAATTAAATACACTGGCTGTTTTATTATCAGATTGCTCTTCTGTTTGTTGTAATGTACCAGTTATGTCTCCCATTTCATTTTCAGTTTGTTGAAAGTGATGCTGACGAGGAGCTTCTGTTCAATATACCGTAAGAATTATATTGCAGCAGCATTCATCCTCCTAGACTAATTTCAATTTCTGTTCTGTTCTTATTCATGTTCTATTTAATACAATTTGTCTGGGTAAGAAATGCTTTGCCAGCAGATGTGGATGTGTTTAATGCACATGGTTAAATCTGCAGGTTTACAGGTAGCGTGAAGCTGAAAGGGATCATTATTGCTGGAGAAGATGATGAGTCACACCCAGCCGAAATGAGACTGTGAGTTTGCTCTCACTGTAAAATGAGACCTCTCTTGCAGCGTCACATATGGATAATGCAACTACAATTTACATGATTGGGTGCTGCAACTGGTGCTTTTTGATCAGGTACAAGAACATACCCCAAATGTCATTTGATGATACAAGCAGAGAGCCAGAACAAGCCTTTCGCCTAAACAGGGATCCACATGCCGAGCTTGAGTATCCAACCAAGTAAGCAATTTTAAGTATGTTAACATGCACAAGCACATTAATTATACAACCTGTATACTGGACACTAAATCTATGTTGACCACCTCCAACATTTTAAATAGGATTGCGAGATTCTCCAATGTGGAGCACTTATCTATCCACATATCTCGAAACTTTGGGGCAGAATCCACTCGCGTGTATTACATTGGTCTGCGGGGAGAATACGCAGAGGTCAGTACTGGATTAAACATGTCCTGCAATAACAATAACACCAGTTCTATTGTCACTATTTATAACTGGTTGGAAATGTACGGAAGCGTATTGCATTCACTTGAAGAAAAAAAATCGACTGTTTTTCTGAATTAATGAGTTAATTATCTCAGAATTATGAGATGCATTTTTCTTGAAAAAAAAAAATGTTCACTCTGTTTTTATGAATTAATGAGAGAAAATTATGAGTAACTCATTAATTCATAAAAACAGAGTGAAAAAAATGTTTTTCAAGAAAAATGTATTTCATAATTCTGAGATAATTAAGTCATTAATTCAGAAAACAGAGCAAAAACTTTTTTCCATGAAAAATTATCTCGTAATTCTGAGATAATTAACTCGTTAATTCAGAGTAGATTTTTTTTTCCTCAAGTGAATGCAATACGCTTCCGTAAAAATGCACTACATTCTTATGATATTATGTTAGTGTTGCTGTTTTTATAAATATTTGTTTCACCTTGGAAAGGAAAATAGGATCATACAATCCTTCATCTAGTATCTTTCTATCTCTCTTTCAGCCTCACAGACATGAGGTGACAATCTGCAACTACGAAGCAGCAGCCAATCCAGCAGATCACAAAGTGAAGAGCATTACGCCCCAGACACAGTTCATATCATGACAAACAGAGGAAAGAGAATCTCACGCCTGCTGTGTCAAACTATAAAAGTGTGCATGAGTTTTGGTAACGGCCAGATGAACTGAGTTGTAACGGATTTATATACTATGGTTTGTTTATCTGCTAATTTGCCAATAAACATTAAGCTATAAGCATAATTACTGAATGTATGCTTATGTCAAATAAACGCTTCAAATAACAGAACAGATGAGCCATGCAAGAAGTCTGTTCTTTAAATGTCGAGTGGAAAGTTTATCCTCTCAGTTTGGTATTACAATATAGTATTCATCCATTTAATATTTTTTTGCATTATTTGCTTCAAATGTGAGATTAAAAACCATTTAGGAAGATGTGTTCTAATCGGGTCCTCAAAGTGTTTAATATTGATTGATTCCCGCAGTTTGTTTAAAAATGTATTTTCCTGGTTAATTTCAATCACTTTTGGCATTTCATAATATCACACAAATGTTATAACTTATGCATTATGCTGCTGTTAGTTAAACACAAATACAGTAACACTTTAATTTACAGTGTCCTTGTTACATATGTTACATGTACTTACCATAGTAATAACAGTAAACTATGCATAATTACATGCAACTAACCCTCAACCAAACCCCAATCCCACCCTAATCCTATAGTAAGTACACGTTGTTGATTAATATCAGTACTTAAATATATAATTACACTGTAACAAAGACACCTTGAAATAAAGTGTAACCAAAGATACAATCTCAGGTTTTTCACAAATAAATGTGACAGGAGCAGTGAATATGAAACTATTTTGAGCATCCATCACTACAAATCCATTTCTCCTCACTTATGCATAACAGTTTGTTGCTGATAAGTTAAGATTTTGTTTAGAATTATAACTAAGGCTTTCTTAGTGTAAATGGTTTGTTGCAAGTGTTTAAATATTACAATGTTTAAAATAGTTTTGGGTCTGTTGTGGTATTTGGTTAATAGATTTCCAACAAAAAAAGAGCATTTTTTATAAAAAAAAATTCATATAATACATAAAGCTTTTATTGGGCTTTGTTTTATTGGGTGTCACAAAGTCTGCTTGCATTGCAAAATTCACAATCCAGCGTTACATTTTATATGGAAAAGTTTACCAGAGTATATTAGACAATCATACAGTGAATTTAAAGGGAAATATTTTCTTTGTCAAAATGTACTCACCCTTATGTTGTTCCAAACCTGTGTGAGTTTCTTTCTTCTGCTGATAACTATAAAATATATTTTAAAGAATGTCAGTAACCAGACAGTTGACGGTACCCATTGACTTGCATACATTTTTTTTCTCTCTCTCTATGTCTGGTTACAAACATTCTTTAAAATATATTTTTAAACAGAAGAAAGAAACTCATACAGGGTTGTAACATAATGAGGGTGAATAAGTATTGACAATATTTTTTTTTTTGGTGAACTATCCCTTTAACATTTAAAAATATGTACATTAGCTTTTAATCATGTATGAGGGATGGTTTTTGGTTTTTAGTGTTTATTTATTTTTGTAATACTTTTATGTTGTCCTTTCAGTACAGCACTGTGGTCAACACTGTTGTTTTATTATGTGGTTCACAAATAAATTGGAATTTTAGACTTACACTTACAAAATAAGGTACAGTTTGCTGGCTTTTGCAACATTTAAGCTTACGCGGTTGCAGAAACGCGATGACGTCATGGCGCCGTGTCCCCGCCCCTCTCCGACAGAAGGAGCGGAAGTTCCGTTGTGACCTGGGATAGCAAGCGGTGAGTCAATACATTTGTTGCAGTTAACCGCTGTTTATATCTGTTTTTTTTCCTGCCTGAACACTAAAATGTATTCTACCCCCCGACCTTGGCTTTAACGATCGCTATAAAAGCGCAAGTTTGTCGCTGAGCAGCGTGATAGTGGGCTTAATCGCGGGGGTAGAGAGATCCAGCTAGCTCCATCTCTGAGGCTGTGGGTTCATTGTGACAATAATACAGGCGAAACAGGATTAAGCTGCCGATCATGTCGCTCGGGTATTAATGAAACGACCTAGCGGCTTTATTTATACATGAATCATGTCCTTGATTCCATCAGGCTTGAAAAAAGATGCTATGTGTCTCTATTGTTTTCACTGCCCATCCCTTCCTATTCATTGTGAATATATGATCGTGGTGTTCATGTGACGGATTATTGAACTGACGCATTAGAGATGATCAATACAGTCATTTGTTAATGTGTATCAATGAGCCATTGTGTGGCAGACACTCAAACTGGTGCATAAGGACACCATGCAGTTTCACTGGAAAAGTCCTTTCATATATTCTTCTGGTATTTAATGGGATTCCATAAGCAGGTGGTTTAATAAAAGTATTTGATAACATGTGCAGTACTAAAGTCTAGGAAGCCAGACTGACTGATAAAAACCCAGACGGGCACATAAAGTTTATTCAAGTGTTTGTTTGAAACTAGGGATGCACTGATATGAACATTTGGCTGATACCGATAACAGATAATTATTTATATTTGAAAGATAACCGATATATTTGCAGATAAATCTAAATCCAAATTTTGTATATAATTTTGGAGCCTGATTACAAAAACAAGTCTCGTCATTAAAATTTTCTCATTGTAATATTATGTAGCCTATATGACAGACATGCACTGCACATTTTACACTTCACTGTATTTTATTTTTTAAATGATTCTAACCATATTTTAAGCAATTTAAACCCCTCAAGGCGATCAGTGCACATCTCAAGTGTCTCAGCTGAAGGAAATAATCCATTATTTATCGACGATTCGACGTTAATATATCGCCAAATTTTCTTATTGAGCTGTTAACAATAAACATAGATCTGCCGATATTTTGTGCAACCCTATTTGAAACACTTCAGGCTTGTGTCACAGTCACCCAGGCCTCTCACAAACACGAATGAATCCATTAAACTGGAGTGTTTTGCCTCCTGCAACTGTCAAGATTTGATTTCTCAGCACTGTCATGCGGTTCCAGGAAAACAGGGACCCGTGGTTTTCATTTAGGCTTCATTAGTTTTCTGGGAACTCGTCTTGAGCAGACGTCTGCAAGTACAAACTTGTGATCTGTAGAAAATGAAGCTCTGCGTGTATGATTAACATAAGCGTCAGTGCTTATCCAGTAGACCTCATCACCCTGTAATTTTTCACTTTTTCTTTTCCTCAGTCGAGATTTCAATAGAGCACTTTTAGTTTTAGATGGGCTTGAGTTGCTAGTTAAAATGACTTTAACAACACTGGCAATTAAACCAACTTTTGTTAATCATTCTGCAGCCTGCTGACAGTTTCTTTCTAAAATTGCTGGTTTGTATCTTTAATAACCATTTCACCCATACTTAATGCCTGGGCCTTTGTGTTTTACATAAACATGTTGTGCTGATTGCTTTTGAACTTGTTGGTTTTGTATTTTTCTAAAAGTACTCCTCACATTGTATGTGTGGCAACAACATGTCTGTACCTCTGCTCGCTGAAGCCGTGACCGTGTCTGGGACGGAGAAGGAGACGGCTGTGGTGAGAGAACAGTCCAATCATTAACCAAAATCTGATGTTGCTCAAGAGATTCATTAGCATTACAGAGGCCAGGCTTCAACTGTACCAAAGCAGTTTCTTTGAATTGAATGGTTTGTTCTCCCCAAAATAAAAATTCTGTCATCGTTTACTCATCCTTGTGTTGTTCCAAAACCATAAGACTTTGATTCATCTTCTTCAAAACACAAATTGACGTTTTTTTAATTAAGTCTAAGAGGTTTCTGAAAGACTGAACGTCCAGGTGACGAAAGGTCATAAAGGCGTCGTAAATCAAGTCGAGGGATTTAATCCAAGTCTTCTAAAGAGACATGATCGCTTTATATGATAAACAGATTTAATTTAGGCTTTTATTCACAACATCTAAACAATGACGGACACATGCAAAGAGCTCATCAAATATTGTAAACACAGACAATGTGATATGATGCATGAGAACCAATGAGATTAGTTCTAGAGTGTGATGTTTAGCATATGTGATTTTCTCTATGTATGTGTGTTTATATGTGTATAAAAGCCTAAATTAAATCTATTCATCATATAAAGCGATCATATCTCTTCACAATACTTGGATTAAACCATCCAGGTCATATGGATTAATTTTAAAAACACCTTTATGACCTTTTTGGATCTTTCAAGTTTTGGTTACATGGACTTTCGTTAAAAATATCTTCATTTGTGTTTCAAACATCAACCAAAGTCTAATGGGTTTGGAACAACGTGCGGGTGAGTAAATGGATGAACTATGCCTTTAATAGGGATGCTCTTTCACAGTCTGAATGAAAGTCTATCTGCTGCCTTCTTTATCGGAAGAAATAGATACACAGAAAGCTCAAGCTTGCTATTGAGATGGTATCTTCATATAAAATAACCAAGAGTCAGCATCGAGCACAGGAAATCGGTCCTCTTTTGGGCCTTGCAGAGAGATTAGTTTCACATCACATTCTGTTAACTTTGCAGGTGATCTTCCTTCATGGCTTGGGTGACACAGGGTAAGTTCTGTTCATTACCCGCCTGATCTTCCGATGGCCCTCGTCCTGCATGAAAATAACCCTGTCGTGTTACTTCTAGACACGGCTGGGCTGATTCAATGACGTCTATTAGACTGCCGTACATCAAATACATCTGTCCACACGCGTAAGTGACTTGCAAAACATTTTAGATGCGTTGGTGGTTATGCAATAAGGGAAGTATTGTGTAGTTCATTGCAAACTAGTCATTCTTTCTGACTCCAGACCCAGAATCCCTGTAACTCTCAACATGAAGATGACCATGCCCTCATGGTAAGCTGCCTCTGCTGCGGGTACATTACAGCTCTGCTACTACATTTACTTAAAAGTGCTGTGGGGATTTAAAATGTGATTGACACCTGGAAGTAAACCATGTTTGATGATTTTGAAAAATGTAAAACAAAGGAAATGTATGATGTAGTATTTCAGATTCTGCACTATTTTAGGTCATTTAATCAAATAATTACATTTGTGACATTGAGCATGTGACTTTGTACAGACAGTCAAATGCTATATACTTGTGGTTAAAGTGAAAAGGATTTTTCAGTTGTCAGGTTGCTAATATAATATAATAATCAGCTTTGAAATCACAAGAATAAATTATTTAAAAATATATTACATTTTAAAATAAAGACCAACATTTTGAAATACATTAAAATAGAAAACAGCTTTAATAATATTTCACCATATTACTGTATTTTTTATTAAATAAATGCAGCCTTGGTGAGCATTTATGGCTAAATATTATAATCAGTGTTTTTTTTTAAAGTTTTATAGTTTTATTAATATTTTAATTTAAATTTTTGTTAATTTCAGTTTAATTTTTAGTAATTTAGTTGTGTGCTTTTTGTCTCTCTTTTTTAATAATACTATATTGGCTTAATTTAATTTTTATTTCAGTTTTAGTTTTGGTTAGTTAGTTTCATATATTTTCTGTTAAATAATTTTAGCGCTAAAAGTTATTTCAGCTTATTGCTAAGGCAACCTTTCTAATTTTCGATGTTAATATATCGGCCAAATGTTTTTAATAGTTTTAGTTTTACTTAATATAGTATAAAACGGGGTAAACTATTAATAAAATTCGAAATAAAAGCATTTTCCACTAGTGGATTTGTACTTTTTGAGTCTTTTTTAAATTCTTGTCTAATTTTTCTTCTTCTCAGGTTTGACCTGATGGGCTTAAGCCCAGAATCCCCAGAGGATGAAGCAGGGATTAAGAGAGCAGCAGAGAACAGTGAGCAAAATCTGTTTTTTTATGACACACAAGCACATTGAATACAGCATAAGCTGTACATGACTTAAAAACATCCAAAAATTGGCTTAGTCTGTGTCAGCGAATGTAAAACCACATGAAGAAACGCATCAAGTTAATGAGGATCACATGTAATGCGAGAGAATATTGTTATATGCTGAAATTTGATTATGTGGCGCTAAGTATAGTCCGCTCCCTCTCTTCAACAGTAAAGGCAATCATCGATCACGAGGTAAAGAATGGTATACCATCCAATCGTATTCTTCTGGGTGGCTTCTCTCAGGTCAGTGATCCCTCCTGAAAGTTTGTACGATCTGTTAAATCGCTGAGACTGCAGATGATCTTCAGTTCCTGGTTTGTTGTTTGATGTTCAGGGTGGAGCTCTGTCTCTCTACACCGCTCTGACCTCTCAGCAGCAACTAGCCGGTGTTGTTGGACTTAGTTGTTGGCTTCCACTTCACAAGACTTTCCCACAGGTACAAGACATTCAGCAGTGTTTGTGTGAGAATAAATGTGTGTGTGACTGTGTGTATGTGTATTCAGGGCTTGACATGCATTTCAGCAGTGGCGTTTAACGCAGTCAATTTGGCGGGTTTAATTTTATATATACATTTTTAAATTTTAGTCTTTTAAAGCAACACTAAGTAAGATTTTTTACCTTAAAATAATGTTTCCAAATTCGTTTCAGTGGTTCATTAAGTCGTAACAGGGTGAAAGGCACTTCTGGATTCGCTTTGCGGTCCTATATCTGCTATAACCACGCTATGTGAGATTGCCAGATCGGGTCGCGTTTCTGTAGTTCTAATGAGACATAAGAAAACTACAAATTTGACTTGCTTTACGTCAAGCGATACAATAGTCATTATTTTGTTTTTCTTCGTTTCTGATGTCGCAATACATCATACTTTCATGAAATCATGCAACATACTCTAGCTTGTCTGTGGACATCGTTCATTCTAAAGCCGGCGCTGGATAAACAGCGAGCGTGCGTGCGACAGTAGGATGCGCTAGGCTAAAGTATTTACCACAGCGGTAATGAACAATTCCACTTCCAACCTGTAGGGCGACCGCAGAGGAAAAGTAAAATCTCTCTGACAGTGAGTGACACACAAACCCGCCTCTCCTCACTCACTCGTTTCATTTGCTCTGGATGAATATTGCTGGTGTTAGCTTATTGTTGGCTTGAATTTCGACGTAGGATTGCACGTATTGCGAATAATTTTTTTTGTTCCTGTAGATTTTGAGCTCACACTCAAAGTGAGGCACATAAAGCCACCTCACAGCACTAAATTTTGTTTTGTTTTTCGCTGCTTATTGCGCTTAAACAGTCAAATACACGCATAATAATGTCAAAATGCTGGTTTAGGCGAGTATTCGCATAAAAGCAGTCAGTTATGTTTTAAGTGAACGCAAACAGTTGAGAAAGAAAGCGCACATGTAACAGTATAATGGATCAGTGCGTCAGGTCTTAAAGTGACAGCAGCCTAATATACCTGCTGCCAAATTATGAGATAATATAAAAAATATCTATTTGACAGTTTTTCCCCATGGTATCAATGTCAAAATTGTGACCAGTGAAAATGCTCAATTGAAATTCGCAAGCTTGTGATTTGATTTAGAATCGTGAAATAGGTGTCAATGCCCAGCCCTGATATATATGTGAATATGGATCTGATTTTTTCTCCATTAGGCTGCAAATGGGAGTGGAAACAAGGGCACTCCCATTCTGCAGTGTCATGGTGAGATGGATCCCATGATCCCGGTGCAGTTCGGGGCCATGACAGCAGAGAAGCTCAAGACCATCGTCTCTCCAGGCAACATCACCTTCCGCACCTACCCGGGTCTCATGCATAGCTCCTGTCCTCAGGTGAGTCTTTCTGTGGCACGCACAGAAGCCTCAGGCCTTGTCCTCACTAATACATCTCCGTTCGAAAACGCATCTTTTTCTCTCCGTTTTGGCCTTCTGTCCACATCGAGACGGTGTTTTTGTCAATGAAGACTGAGAACGTTCTTCCAAGTAGATCAATTTGAAAATGTCGCACGTTTACTACTAGTCATGTGACGCATATTGTACCCATAGATGTCTATGGTTATACTGGTGTTCTGACGATTTGTGCTGCCTTGTCGAAAAATGCTACCGTAGCGCGAATGTCGATTAATATTATATGAAATACAATTATAATACAATTCTAAGTTACGAGTAGCTACTGTATAGACTACTGTTTTTATTTTTAAAACGGTGTGAAAAGTAAAAATAATCATCAAATATTCATCTTTGACTTGTCAAAGCACACCTTTCCTTAGTAACTGAAACTTTCAGTTATTCTTGTTCAGCTGGCTGACCGTACAAATATTCATATGGTAGTTAGCATTTTTTAAAGGGAAATTACATTATATCACATGAAAATGTACCTTTTGTTAAAAGAAACTGAGTCTGCACATGCGCATAACCAGTAAGTAGCAATGAATTGTCAGAACACCGGCATTGGTGTGCCTGCTATACACTTTCATAGTGTTGTTGCTAAAGAGAAATGTTCATATTGCATTCCTGCAAAGATGCCTGAAAATGAACTCGCAGTTGCTGTCCTGCTGCAAAACATGACCATTGCGTTTTAGACCATGCGACTTTGATTGCAACCTAGACTCAACAGTGAGTGGTGGGATATTTTGTTAATAAAATGATCGTGCCAGAAGAATAGCGTGAGAGCTTTATGATGTCTGCTCTCTTCAGTGTTTCCCCTACCATTGTTTTGGGGGGGCGGCCCGCCCCATCACAAACTACCCCTCCAGTCATAAAAAAGGAATTTAGTGTATAACGCGGAATTTCACGGAATTTGTAAATTTGAGGAAAAAATAGAAAGCAGTTCAGTACACTTGAAATCAAATCGCGATGTAGACTAGTGTGTGTGAATATTAAAACACAAAGACTATTTAAATGCGAATCCTGCATGTTCTGTGTGAATGAATGGTGCCGCCGACGCGCCGTTTCATTTACACACACACACACACACACTCACACACTGAAGCGCGTGTGACGCTTGCGCTGTTTTTTGGCCTATATGAAGACACAAATGCATGAACTTCCTCTCAGGCTCTAGATCCACTCTGAAAGTCACATAGACAGTAGGAAAGTCACTTCGTGATCATTTCACCGCTTCATTTGAGAAAAACTATCATCATGACATAAACACACAGAAACTCAAAAGGTACTTAACGGCAACCCGTCAAAATAAAAGTTTGGTTTAACTTGACAGAAATATATTACTGTTGTACAGTAGAATTTAGATATGTCCCAATGTAATAATATACTAACACTAATCCAAATAAATTATCATCAAAACTGACATTTTTAAGGAATAATCTATGTTTTAATTTTAACAGTGAAGCTCATTGTGCAGCAAGTTATTTGACAAAAAGTTTATTTAATTTCATATGATTAAAATTGATGATAAATGATACAATTTGTGTTTTATGTCTTCATTTTATTACCAGAAAAAACACAACACAGAATTAGTGTGACATTTTTTTTCATATATTTAAAAAAAAAAGTATTGTTTAATGATTCATAATACATTATTTCAATTAAAGCTCCAGTCGGCAAGTCTGGCAGATTGAGTGGATTTAGGAACATTTTGAATGTTTACAACTCTCATGCCCCTCCCCCACTATCAACGGAAACCCTCCCACCGAGTTCATGCTGGTCAGTGCGTGTGCACCAGATTTTCAGTGAACGCCAGGACTCTCAAGTGTCACGCATTGAGCGTGACAGTCACTCATTTCGGTCTTTTGTCACGCTCTCCCGCCACACATTGTATTTCTCACGCTGAAAAACTATTTGAAATATATTTAATATGCTGCAGCGCCCAAAACTCTGGCCGCGCCGCTCTCACTGTGGAACCGGCATGAATCAAGCGTGTTTCCTCTGGTGTTGTTCGTCGAGCTACACAATAGCCAATCAGAAAATAGCACTATTGTATCTGGGTAAGATTTAACGCAACAACCAATGACAAAAATGTATCCAACCCCCCGTCGGCTGGGTGTCACTCTTACCTGTCTTCAAAACTTGAGAGCCCTGGAACGCGCCCGTCTCATCAGCATCCATCAACACCATGGAGTATTTGGAGGTATGCTGTCCTGGCTAATCTACCGATTGATTGCAATTGCTAACGTCATTTATACTCTAAATGAGCGTACTTGATTTTCCGCCATCACTCTTCGTTACTGCGCGAACTTCCGCGAACTTCAGGCGTGTGCATGTGATTGTAACGGGCGCGAGGGGTGGCGTGTGCATGTGATTGTAACGGGCGCGAGGGGTGGCGTGTGCATGTGATTGTAACGTGCGCGAGGGTGGCGTGTGCACGATCTGTGATTGGCAGTCAGATCTCACACCCCCCTGTGCTGATTGGACATGATGATCCGGGAGCTGGGGATTTTTGCAAAACAAATAACACGCTCCAGGTGGAGTTAGAAGCTCAGGGTTTTTTTCTAAAACCACTTTATTTATGTTTTTCTGTCAGATTATAGTGTCGATTTCACTGAATATGATCAAAAAAATGTTTCCGACGGCAGCTTTAATTAGACATGCTTTATGATTGCAAAAAAAAATTACACCACGTATCCGTAACACGCCCGCTCCGCAACACTAGCAGTCTCCCCCCCCCCCCCCCCCCCCCCCCCCCCCTGAAAAAAATCCTAGGGGAAACACTGCTCTTGGTATGAAAATTTGCATTTTCAGATGGATGAGCAACTTTGGGAAAACGCTAATGTGGACGGGGAGCATTTTTAAATGAAAACGCCGTTTTCAAATTAGAGATGCACCGATTACAATTTTCTAGGCCTTTTCCGGGTTTGACCTGCCGATACCGATTTTAGCCGATTTCATATGCCAGAGTGCATTTGACCAGCATAAAATCGGATTATGTCAGACTGACCGGCCGATCATCATCATCGGTGCATCTCTATTTCAAATGTATCTGGATTAATGTAGACTCAGTTTTACTCATTTTACCATGTGCAAATTCATTATGAAGGATTTCAGAGATTCCTCTGGAAAAAATTTTTCTCTCTCAAATCTGTTTAGAACTTCCTATATGTCTTTATTTGATTAGTTGTCCTTCAAAAGTAAGATTTTTTGTTTTAATGCTTTTGATTTTATTCTCTTATGCTCACCAAGGCATTTATTTGATCAAAAATGCAGTAAAGTAAAAGTAATATTGTGAAATATTAAAAGAACTGTTTTTTTATTTTACTATATTTTACAATGTAATTTATTCCTGTGATTCAAAGCTGAGTTTTCAGCTTTATTACTCCAGTCTTTAGTGTCACATAATCCTTCAGAAATCACTCTAATATGATGATTTGCTGCTCAAGAAACATTTATGATTATTATCATCAATGTTAAAAAAAGTTGTGCTGCTTCATATTTTTGTGAAAACCGTGAGTAGAAAGTTCAAAAAAGCATTTATTTGAATCCGACATTGTAAGTGTCTTTTGTCTTTCATTTGCCTTTTGATCAATTTAATATCCTGGCAGAATAAATGTATTAACTGTTTGAAAATAATCTTTCCTACCACAAACTGTGAAACAGTAGCGTAAATATTGCTCAGAACTAAAATTTCGAAGCAAACTCCCGTGAACCAATAATAGGATGAGATCTGAACTGAAATCATGCTAAATATTATCTTAGATGTTGTACAGTAGTTATATCAAACTATATTATTTTACTAACACCCATACTGCTCTCTGATTGGCTTTACAGGAGATGTCTGCTGTGAAGGAATTCATTGAAAAGCAGTTGCCCCGAGTCTGACCTCAATCTAACTCACTGTGACCCTTAGACACTGACCTCTCACCTCCGACCTGCCATTCTCTCACAGGAAACAGCCATGATCCCCTACAACACATGCGCATGAACATTCAGTTGTACATACTGTGAACATGCAATACATGCAAACCATCTCATCTCACGCCTTTCTTTGTAATTTCATACATTATTAAAAAAAGTGATATTATTATTTTTATTAGTATAAGTGACGACAGTTGACATCCGTACATACAATAATATCCCATGAAACTTTTGCTCTTTTTTTTTATTTTTATTTTTTTAAGGGAGACTCATTAACTTTCATCATACATTCCTGTAAGCATTAAATCTCAAACCGTTTCCCAGTATCTCTCTCTTCCCTGCTCCTCTGTCTCTTTCTCTCAAGCAAGGCGGTAAACGTAACGTTTTTCCAGACAGCTTTGTCGCAGAACTTGGGAAAGTTCAGATGCTGCAAATCTGTGGTGGTGGAGGGAGTTAGTGAGAGCCGGTGCCGTCTGGAGCGAGTCTCGTCGCGCTGCTCTGCATGCTGGTCCCACGGTGCATGGCTTCATCGGGATGCTGCAACTCATACTTTTGTTTAGTTTAACTAGAAATGTGCGAAAGGCAAGCGTAAATGTCTCAAATAAACTACTAATGACTTATTGGAATCGTCCAGTATGCTTTGTTTTCCATGGAATAGGAATTCTGGCACCAAGTCTATATGCAAAATTAGCTGATTTACACCATGCAAGTACTTGTATAATATACTTATTTAAATAAAAAATTTTTTTTTTTTTAGAACAAATGCACATAACCGGCTTTAGTATCTCATTGTAAAATAATCAACGATACTAAGCTCTTGACATCACTTATTAATATTAATCAAAGTGAGTCACTCCAGACGGGCCGATAATTTTTTCCAGATTCCCCGGTCACCTCATAACCGCATCATCCACCACCCATGTGACCAAACACATTGAAGTGTTCTGGGGTCTCAGATGGCATATGTATATACATTTCAGGTTCCATATTATTGCATAAAAGTATTGTTTACTGACACAATCTATTAACAAAAGATGGAAGGTCACAGTTACGCAGCAGCGTGGCGGATTAAGCCTGCTGATATTAAAGAATTATGAGGTAACCTTAATTAACTATTAAATTGAAATATGAGTCATTTCTCTCACAGTTTGCTTGTATACATTTGAAAATGGATTATTAAAATGTGTGATGATATCTCTAAACCAGTTGTTTGCAAAGTAGTGAATGTTGCTTTTTTAATCTAAATAGATGTTCTTCGATTATATATTATTTCAGTGTTATTTTATCTTCTAAGTCCATTTGACTTCCATGTTTTCATAACTGCTATGATCCCCTCTTTTCTAATTGGCATTATTCCTTATTGTTAGTTTCTGAGCTTCAGACAGGTTTCCTATTTGCCCTGTAGCTTGAATGTTTATTGAATGAATCATGGGAATGCCAGGCACAAGTTGGTCAGCAGAAACGGGCAATATCATTGGGTTTAACAGTGAACTTATAAGTTTATGTCCCCCTGAGTTGTGCTTTGTTGCTGGGGTTTTCTTTTTTCTGTTATGTTTCGTTGTTGTCTTTATTTGAAGTGTACTGAGGGACAATTGGTTCTTCAGAAACTTTCCCAAAACACCTGTATGTGAAATAAATGATGCAAATCACATCAATGCAGTTTTGTGTTTTATTGATAATGTCAACTTCCACCGAGAAAGGCATGAACACGTCTCAGACCTCCATGCACAGCAACATATTATGGTTATGTGCAGTGAACATTGCACATATTGTCTATCGTTTTGTTTTCCTAACAGGAGGCAAGCAAATAGACCAAAGGGTGTAACTGGTTTAAGGCATGATGAGTATATGTGTATAGGCCTATACGCCTCTAGTAATAAACCAAAGCAAATGTTTTATTTTCTGTTGATCTTTTAATTAAATGAGGTCCAAAGTGGGTCAAAATGTGTAAATCCCCTAAAGAAAGTGACCAGCTGCAGAACTGCTGTCCTCAACACGTGACCTGTTTTGACTGCTGCTTGAAATAGTACTGACATCGGCCTGTATTTGATATAAATCATTTGACAAATGGATTTACATAACATCTCTCTAAATATCAAAATAGCCAGATTGGTTCAGTTCATTCATTCACATTTCCACAAAATTACTCGAGCGCAAAGACTGAGTTTGGAGTCGATATAAAAGGTTACTTTAGGTGGCGCAAATAATGTTCAATCTGATATTTTACCCGTTTATTTCCGACTGGTCATATTTGTAACCTGATGTTTCTTCTGCGTTTGAGTAGTCTAAAGTTAATGATTTATTTTGCGCAGAACTGTAAACAATAAACAATAATAATAATAATAAAAAAAACAATAAAATGCTTATTTCACGTGAAAATCAATGAAAATACACCTACCATATAACATATAGTTAAATAGAATGAAAATAAATAAATAATAATAATTCAATGCAAAATACACGTAAAATGAAAAATTAATAAACATAAAATATTTAATTTTAAATGCATAAATAAATGTAGAGGTAATTTAAAAATGAATACACAAAATAATAGATAAAAGAAAAAAACAATTCAGTATGCAATATATATATATATATATATATATACATATATAAGATAAAAAATAAAATAAATTCAGGACTAAATTAAACGTATTTATTTCATCATTTCGACTCATAAGTTGTCAACTGTATTTTTGGCTTTATAAATGTTTTACACACAAATAAATCAAATTTTAAATCAAATTTTAATGTTTTAAATCATATAGAAGCCAGTCATATCAGTAGCCTTATACATTTTATAAAAATAATGAAAGAAACAATTATTGAGGCCCAAATCTATGTAGGACCAAAGTAAAATAATTTTGTGAAATATCTTAAACAATAAATGTGTTTTCATGGAATTTTACAAAATAAACAGATACATTTAATTATTTATTTATTTATTTATTTATTTAATTAATTAAATCAAGTTAATTATTTAATAAAGATTTAATTATTTCAGAATACATTTGTACATTTAATTGTAGTTTTATTGAATCCATTATTTATTGAATTATTTCACTTTGAGTACTTTGGTCCTCCATTCAAGTCTTAAGAAATAATTAATTAATTAATTAATCAATTATTAACTTGATTTTTTTTTGTCCTGAATGTATTTTATTATATATACATATATTCATTATTATTATATATACGTATTGTAGCCTATTATTTTCTTTTATTTATTATTTTCTGTTTTCAGTTTTAACTGTGCCTCCTCCTGTGCGGTAGGTGGCGGTGAGTCGCTCTTAAACTCGGTCCTTCATCTGCCGTTAACACCGCGAAGGAGACGCAGATTATTGTCCTATGAAATGAGAGCATGACCAGCAAACACAGCCACGAGCACCACCCCTATGATTATACAGTTCTTTATCATTTCTTTTTACTTAATCGCTAACATGATCGAAGGTCTGCTGCCTGATAACAATCTCGATATAAACTTTTGACACGCCGCTTGCTCTGGTCATTTGATGTGTCAGCGCTTCATGGATACGTCAGTGATGAGGTACGTGTGTGTGTGAGTGATTGTTTGTGTGTTGATCGCTCATGTCAACTCGCCTTGGTTTCCAAATCTCCGCTTGACCAGCTTAGAAGACTAAAGCTCTGCTTTATCAAACATGTGTTTGTTGGTATAGCGATCTGTCAGTCATAGACCGGCGTTGATGAACTGATGATGCTGATCAGCTGTCAACACAGTAAATGCATCCTTGAAAAACTACAGCCAGAGTTTCAGAGCTTTGGTTTAATCCTTAGACAGTTGTTACAAATGCTTCATGAGAAATCAGAGAGAAACCACTCCACCACCACTGTATGCGATTCACAGAGCTAGTGTGCAGCATTAATCTTCATACATTGGGATGGATTATATGAAAGTCAAGCTTTTGTGTCTGTTGGGATATTGTAAGTAATTGCTTTCTTTTCAAAGCCACAAAGTAATCTAAAAACAGGTTATGTATTTTATGTTTTTTAGTTTGTCTCTAATTTTGGGTAGTTCACTCAAAGGGAAGATTATGTCATTATATACTCAACCTCATGCTGGTCTAAACCCGTATGACTTACTTTCTTCTGAAGAACACAAAGGAGATGTTGTTCAGCATGTCACCATTCGCTTTCAGTACTATTGACTAACATTAAACCTTTAACATAACCTTCAAGACTATGGATTTTCTGTGTAACTACATGTCGTTCTGGAAAATTCCCACATTTACTTAGGGTTAGGGTTATGAGTGAGATTAGAGTTTTTAGGCCTAAAGTTAACAGTGTAGCTGCAATGCAAGTACGTTAAATGTAATCACAATGACCAGTGTGTATGTACATAATAAGTTTATTTTATTAAGTTTATATGTAAGGCCATCTAGTTAAATCAGACATTTGGTCTATCATGCAAAAAAGACATTCGTACAGCTTTGGTAGATTGGTACTGTCGCTTTAAATGTCAGGTTACTGCATGCTGTTCCTGTCGGCCATGGTTATTAATTAGCCTGGAGTTTCAGACATTGTTAAAAGTGAAAACGTCAGTTGAGGATCATCTTTTAAACACAAAGCCTGCATTGTTTAAAAGTAGCCCACTGCCTGTAAAATGAATGCAAATGGAGATTTACCATTAATGGACACACAGTATGTTTAATGATTGAGCTCTAGTGTGGGGGAAGCTTGTGGAACAGAAACGTTTCCTTCTCTTTGTGTGCCTGCCAAGTGCCGCTCTTAATTCATCTGTTCTGCATTCTCAGACGTCCCACCTGAAAGTGAGCCGTTCGACCACAAGTCCAGAGTGCATTTATAATGTTCTGAAATGTGCTTTGTTTCTAGTGTAACTCCACAGACGTTTATGTGAAATGATGTGGAAAAGAACAACAGAGCAGACAGAATGACCTAAAAAGCGCGTTGAACGCCCAGCTCATGCCCGATCGGTGCACCTGCTGCCACTCTCTGCTCACACAACCCTCTCAAGTAGATTTAATAGAGCATGACGTGATGCATGCTGGTTGTTTTGCTGATGAAACATTATATCCCTTAGGTCATGCAACCTTTTAAAAAAGGTTTGAACAGTTTATTTTTTTTTTTCAAAAAGAGGCTCGGCAGTTTTATCTGATGTACATGTTTAGAAAAAAAGTGTAACGATAAGATCAGATAAGGGCACCTGTGCAAGATTGTTATTTGCACAATGTGGTCATATGCAAATGAGTGTGTTGTGTGAAGCAGGCTGGTTTTGTTTCATTAGGGATTTCCATAAGATAGTTATGACTTGAATAGTGGCTTGTTTATTTTTCCCACACAAGTACAGTAGCTTCATATGAGTTATCGTTAAAGCTAAAGGGAATGGTTGTTTTACTGTTTAATATGATTTAGCAAAAATGACTATATGGGGCTGTTAACACAACTAATTTTTGTATATTTAGATTTTCTATGTAAACGTGTGCTAGACAGACATGTCTCATGAAGCGCTCAAGTTAAAGGGCTCCTATTATGCTTTTTTACATGTTCAACTTTCTTTAGTGTGTAATGTTGCTGTCTGAGCAGGAAAAAGCTCTGCAAAGCACAAAGTCCCTCCAGCGGGAGTTATTCTCTATATCAGT